GAGCCGAAATCAAGAGTCTGGCACTCAACCGACTGAGCCACCGAGGTGCCCCTCACTTAGTTCTTCTTAAGGTTCATCCATATTGTAGTATGTAGCAGAAGTTCAGTCTTTGTTGTAGTCGACTAATATTTTCATTGTAGGGATATATCCATTCATCAACTGTTGGACATTTGGGTGGTTTCTGCTTTTTGGCTGTTAGGACTCATGCTGCCATGAACGTTTCTGTACAAGTTTTTGTGCAGCATAAACTTTTAAGACCTATATTGTGTCTGGTAGCTCGCATTTATTCGGTACATACCATGGGCTGTGCCAGGCATTGTACTAGTGAGTTGATTTTTTTTTTTTTTAAGATTTTATTTATTTATTTGACAGAGAGATAGAGAGAGAGAACAAGCAGGCAGAGAGGCAGGCAGTGGGAGAGGGAGAAGCAGGCTCCCCGCCGAGCAGGGAGCCCGATGCGGGGCTCGATCCCAGGACCCTGGGCTCATGACCCGAGCCGAAGGCAGACGCTTAACCGACTGAGCCACCCAGGCGCCCCTAGTGAGTTGATTTTTACTTGTAAGCAATTGAGGTCAAGTGGAGGAGATGTATCAGTAAATAGAGGATTATTATAAAGTATCCCAAGTACTGTGTAAAGATAAGCTTTGAGTACTATGGAAGCACAAGGGAAGCACAGGTGACCCACTGGGTGTGTACAAGAGGGATGGGTCAGAATAACTTTCTGGGATGAGCCTGCACTGAATCCTGAGGGACAAGAGGGAATTGGCTAGGTGAAGAAGGGAGAGAAGTGTTACCCAGGCAGAGGAAGCAGCGGGTGTGGGGGTCCAGAGGTGAGAGGGTGGTGCTTGCTTGATTTTGGAGGTCTAGAGGGAATTCATAATAAAGAATTTATCATGGCGGGGGTGTTGGGATGGAGTTGGAAGGTGAGAGATGTGAGTCGGGCTGTGGAAGTGAGACGAAGAGAGGTCTAAGTGATCTTTACGCTCATGCTAAGGGTGTTGTCCTTCCCCTGTGGACTGTGGGAGCCACTGAAGTAGCATGAGCAAGCAAGCAAGGGAATTCTCTCTCTCAGCCATCACTGGGGCTCTGCTCCCTCTCCTGCAGTGGGATCATGTGGCTCCCGTGGTTCTTAACCCCCTGACTCCCAGACTTAGCATCTCTCAGCTGCTCCCTGCCTGGTGCCCTAAGGTGGGGAAGCCTCCAGGGGGGACTCCTGTCCCTCCGCCGTGGAGCACCAGCTTTACTCTGGTTAGGTGCCCTTCTCTTCCTCTCCATTCTCCCTTTGGGACAGCCGAGCATGACCCTCCTTAATGTGCTATGAACATGATGTTGGCCCTTTTTTCTGGGATAGGAGTAGGGACACATCTGTTAGGTGGGCTTTTGTGTCTTACTTTTTAAAAAGAACTTCCTCTGATAAGGTGATATGGTGAGTTATGATACTCTATTTGCAGTTTTGGCTCCTGGGTTTTTTCTGTGTGGTTTTTAAACACTGAGAATATTGTTATGTAAATACACATCATTTACTTGTAGATAAAATGAAATAAGCAACTCTCTGTATAAAAGTTTTTCTGTGTTTTGGATGGATTCTGGAGGTGCAATTTTTGAGTCAAAGCCTTGACTTTTATTATCATCATTGTTATTACCAGGCCACTCTCTGTTAACACTGTACCACAAACTTAGCAGCTTTAAACAATACCCATTTATTAGCTCACAGTTCTCTGGGTCAGAAGTCCAGGCATTGCTTGGCTCATTTCTGTGTTTAGAGTCTTCTAAGCTGAAATCCGGGTGTCAGTTGTCTGGGTTGTCATCTGGAGGCTCAGTTGCCTAAGGAAGAATCTACTGAGGCTCATTCAGGTTGTTGGCAGAATTCAGTTCCTGGGGGTTATAGGACTGAGGCCCGTCCCTGTTTTCTTTTTCTTTCTTCCTTCCTTTCCCTCCCTCCCTCCCCTCCTTTCTTTCTTTTTTTTTTTTTTTTAAAGATTTTATTTATTTATTTGACAGAGAGAGACACAGCGAGAGAGGGAATACAAGCAGGGGGAGAGGGAGAGGGAGAAGCAGGCTTCCCACGGAGCAGGGAGCCCGATGCGGGACTCGATTCCAGGACCCTGGGATCATGACCTGAGCCGAAGGCAGACGCTTAATGACTGAGCCACCCAGGCGCCCCTCTTTCATTTTTTTAAGTAAGCTGTACTCCCAACATGGGGCTTGAACTCATGACTCCCAAGATCAAGAGTCACATGCTCTACCAACTAACTGAGTCAGAGCCAGGCGCCCCTTTTTAAAAAAATTGTTTATTTATTTAAAATAGGATTGATGTCTTTTATTTTATTATTTTTGAATTTATTTATTTTTTTAGTAATCTCTACACTCAACATGGGGCTCAAACTCATGACCCCGAGATCAAGAGTTGCATGCTCTTTCCACTGAGCCAGATGAGTGCCCCATCCCTTTTTCTTTCTTTCTTTTCTTTTCTTTTCTTTTCTTTTCTTTTCTTTTCTTTTCTTTCTTTCTTTCTTTCTTTCTTTCTTTCTTTCTTTCTTTCTTTCTTTCTTTCTCTTTCTTTCTTTCTCTTTCTTTCTTTCTTTCTTTCTTTCTTTCTTTCTTTCTTTCTTTCTTTCTTCTTTCTTTTTTAATTTATTTGACAGAGATAGCAAGAGAAGGAACACAAGCAGAGGAGTGGGAGAGGGAGAAGCAGGCTTCCCTCTGAGCAGGGAGCCTGATGCGGGGCTGGATCCCAGGACCCTGGGATCATGACCTGAGCTGAAGGCAGACACTTAATGACTGAGCCACCCAGGCGCCCCTCCTTTTTTTTTTTTTTTTTTAAGATTTATTTTATTTGTTTATTTGAGGGAGGGAAAGAGAGCACCGAAGAGCGGGGTTGGGGGGTTGGGGGGAGGGCAGAGGCACCCTCAGCATGGATCCCACAACTGCGAGATCTTGACTTGAGCTGAAATCAAGAGTCAGTCACCTGACTGACTGAGCCACTCAGGTGCCCCTAGGTCCCTGTTTTCTTGCTGGTTGTAATTTAGGGGTCATTTTCAGGGTCTTGCTGTGCGGTCCCACCTTCTCCACAGCTAGCAAATCTTCCTCATGTTAAATGCCTCAGCTAGCAAATCTTCCTCATGTTAAATGCCTCACCCTTAGAATCTCTGACTGCCTCTGTCTCTGACCTCTAGACCTAGATTTAAAGGGCTGATGGGATTGGGTTTCTCTGTCTCCCCACAACCCTCAAGAACTTTTCATCATCTCAAACAGAAACTCTGGGGGTGCCTAGGTGGCTCAGTCGTTAAGCGTCTGCCTTTGGCTCAGGTCATGATCCTGGGGTCCTGGGATTGAGTCCTGCATCTGGCTCCCTGCTGCTTCTCCCTCTCCCCCCTGCTGCCCTCCCTGCTTGTGCTCTCTCTCTTTCTGTCAAATAAATAAAATCTTAAAAAAAAAAATTCAAGGGCGCCTGGGTGGCTCAGTTGGTTAAGTGACTGCCTTCGGCTCAGGTCATGATCCTGGAGTCCCGGGATCGAGTCCCGCATCGGGCTCCCTGCTCGGCAGGGAGTCTGCTTCTCCCTCTCCCACTCCCCGTTTGTGTTCCCTCTCTCGCTGTGTCTTTCTCTGTCAAATAAATAAATAAAATCTTTAAAAAAAAAAAAATTCAAACAGAAACTCTGTACTCATTAAACGGTAACTCCCCATTCCCCACTCCCTGCCTCCTCTATTCTTTCTGGTTTTATGAATTTACCTACCTGAGATACCTCATGTAAGTGGAATCATGCAATATTTGTTCTTTTGTGCCTGGCTTGTTTCACTTAGCATAATATTTTCAAGGTTCATCCATACCATAGTATGTAGGCCATTGTATGTGTATACCATATTTTGTTTAGCCATTCACCTGCTCACGGCCGTTTGGGTTGTTTCAGGACTCTATATCTTAAGGTCAACTGATTTGGGTCCTTAATCACGTCTGCTAAATCCCAGAATATTGGAGCGGTCTTCTGTTGCTGTCTACCACACACACTCTAGAAAGATTGTACTACCTCTAGTTGGAGGAACCATCTTGCCTTCTTTCATACCTTTGTCTCTAAATTGTTCAGAAGAGTGTGGAAATTGCATCTCATTCACTGCCTGCCTTTCCAGCTGGGTTTTTCTCTGCTCACGACTCTAGTGGGATGAAGGATGCATAACAATCACTTTTTAGCCTCCAGTGAGAGCGCTCTGGCTTCTCGTCCCCGATATTACCTGTGACATATTTCTGAGGATGTATGAGAATGTGCAGTAATGTCCTGAGAATGCAGCAGGATTTGGACTTGTCCAAATAAGAGAATTTAGGGCTATAACTGCCATGATTAAAGTCAGCCTCATGCTTCAGCTGAATGCAAATTCTTTTGATTCAGTCTGGTCTTTTGGGAATTGGACATTGGATCCTGAAAAGATGGTGCTCCCTAGGAACTGGGAGACCTGGGAAATGGAAATCATTAGAATGTGCTAGAAATCTCAGATTAAATGGGAGCTGAGCATCTCAATAACAAGACTATGACCATAGATTCAGCACGGGTGGTGTTTGAATATTACCACTTGCCATTTGGCTTGGAGGAGGAGCCATGGCCTTTGGAAGGGCATGGGGGTGGGGTGGGGTGGGGTGGTATGTGTGTGCATGAGTGATGTCCTAGGTTAAGTTTTGCTTGGAAGGGGCTCTGTTAGCTCTGAGGTAGTTAGATTCCCTAAGGGTCTTAGATTATGTCTTCTCAATTTAGAATATGCCAGCTTGCTTGTGGGTAATCCTGGTATCGGGGAACAGATAGCAACCACCCTATTGTGGCAGGTGAGTGTGAGGTTGGGTGAGGATTAGAAGGGGGTAAAAGCGTCCCCTGTAAGCAACGGATCCTACCTGCCAGTTGGGGACTTAGCTGGGCCATAGGAAGAGGAAGACCCTGAGGTGACTACCTGCGTGTCTTCTCCAACCTAAGCTGGCTTCGCGGGCAAAACTGACCGTGTGTTCTCTCTCTCAGGCAACTGCAATGTCTGTGGACCGTCTTGGGCAGCATGCTGTGCTTTCCGGGTAAGTGAGCTTGCAGCATTCCCCTGCTGCGATTTCTGGGAAGAAACTGCAAATAAGGAGGTTTCTGGGAAGTTGGAAAATACTCTTTCTCTTTAAGGATTGTGGTCATAGGGCTTTGTTCTGCTCTCCTAGTGACCTCGGGGGGGGGGGTACTTAGAGGGATTGTTTGCCATTTATTTTTGTCTCTGCCCTAACATGTAAGCAGTAAAATTCCTTTTAAATTTTAGTGACTGGTACTTTGGTCTTAGAATTGCAGTTTTCTGTGTATTGCCCGGACTCTGTAGGTCTGCTGTGGTCTCACAGGTAGTTACCAGGATTGAGGGCATCTGGGTCCTAGTTTGGCATTGCCATTTACTGTGAGTCCCGGGACACTTATCCACTCGGCCTCCCTGGACTTCGGTTTTCTTGTGAAGGAATTTGATTTCGTTATGAAGAAATCAAGCTACATAATTTCTGTGGTGTCTTCTGGCCCAGCGTTTTTAAGATTCTGGCAACTAAGCGCCATCCCAACATTTGCTCATCACTCCGCCATGGTACCAGTGTGCTGGCACTTAATGGCCAGAGTCTCCCCTCGCCTTTCATATTCACGGCCTCTCTGAGTTTGCTGTATTTTCATTAACTTAGTTGTTTATGAACCCATTTATCAGTTTTTTTTTAACTAATCTCTCCACCCAACATGGGGCTCGAACTCACAACCGGGAGATCAAGAGTCACATGCTCTACTAACTGAGCCAGCCAGGTGCCCCCGAACCTACATATAGATTAATGAATTATCTTCTATTTCATTGTTTTATTTTGAAATGATATTTTAATTTACCTTAAATGTAGCAGACATTTAAATAATTAAAAAGGCTATGCAGGGGCGCCTGGGTGGCTCAGTCGTTAAGCGACTGCCTTCGGCTCAGGTCATGAACCCAGGGTCCTGGGATCGAGCCCCGCATCAGGCTCCCTGCTCAGCGGGAAGCCTGCTTCTCCCTCTCCCACTCCCGCTGCTTGTGTTCCCTCTCTCACTGTGCCTCTCTCTGTCAAATAAATAAAAAATCTTAAAAAAAAAAAAAAAAGGCTATGCAGTGAGAAGTAAGTTTTCCTTCTTCCTTTTGACCCCCTCCCCAGAGACCGTTACCATTACCATTTTCTTACGTCATACTGGATGCACAGATAAGGAGCAATTGGTATGTCTCTTTACTGCCGCCTCTGCACTCAGGGAAAAAAAAACAGCTTTATTGAGATAAAATTCACAGATCATGTAGTTTATCCATTTAAAGTGTGCAAGTCAGTGGTTTTGGGGATATATTATTCATTAACTACTCAGTTTTTAAACCTGGTTTTTTAAAATCAAGGAAATACATATATATAATTGAAAAAGTCAGTATAGCATTACAAGGATTATATTGTCAGACAGCAGAATCCTACCTCACCTCTTCCTTACCTCTGATCCCACTCATTAGAAACAACTAATTGAGACTCTTTTAGCTTTTTCTTTGGGGTTGCCTCCATTGTTCCAAATAGTACACATATACTCGGTATCTTGATTTATCCATCATAGATATAACAAATTGACTTCTTTTTTTTTTTAAGATTTTATTTCTTTATTTGACAGAGAGAGACACAGCGAGAGAGGGAACATAAGCAGTGGGAGTGGGAAAGGGAGAAGCAGGCTTCCCGCTGAGCAGGGAGCCTGATGTGGGCCTCGATCCCAGGACCCTGGGATCATGACCTGAGCCGAAGGCAGACGCTTAACAACTGAGCCACCCAGGTGCCCCAAAACAAATTGACTTCTTAAAATAGATGAGGATTTAGCACTTTTATTTTCCTCTGTGTGTCCCTTACATGACCTCCCCCTCCTTCTAATTTAGTTATATAACCGTTTTGGGGCTGAATCAGTATTTGGGGTTCTTTTCTCAGAGTAATTTTGAAAGGTCCTATACCATTCTGATTCTGGACTTTGTATGTGACCTATTTTTTGTCTTTGGAAACTTTCCAATGCTATCTTTGTCTCTAGTGTTACTTGTACCTCCAGGTATGTGAAATTTTTACTGTGATTGCCTTGGTGTATGTCTTTTTTTCATTCATTGTGCTGGGCACTTGGAAAGCCCCTCTTTTTTATGCATCATTCCTTGTTTTATCTAAACAGAAACGTAATATATACTTGGCATCATGTGGTCATATTAACAACCATAAAATACAGAGGTGCTAAGGGATAACTGTGTCTCAAATGTTAGACTTTTCTGCATTCACTGATGTGGTTATTGTTATTTGTAGCATCCTAGGAGGGAATGGGATCACTTCACTGGAAGTCAGGCAAGCTTTCCTGTTTTGGTGTGCTCTTAGATACATATATATCCATCTTATTTTTCAACATAATCTTAAAGGTTCACCATTTCGTATTCTTACATTGAACTTGAAAATATATAAAGTATGTACTTAAGTGAACTGCTCAAGTGAATTTACAAATATATACGCCCATGTGATCCCCATTCAGATTAAGATCCAGAGTAATTTTTAGCACTGTTGGAAGGTCCTTTCATTCTGGAAGTCTGTGTCTTCCAGTTTGGAGAAGTTTTCCTGCACTGCGTCTTTGTTAATTTCCACCCCTCTACTTCCTGCTCTCATTCTTTCTGGAGCTGCTCCTAGTCCTATTTGGATATCCTATGTGAATTTTCCTTTGGTCCTTTTTGTTTCGCATTCTGGGAGTTTCCTTCAGCTTTAACTTCCCACTCTTCGATCAGATTTCTTTATTTCGGTTATGCTTTTCATTTCCAGGAGCTCTCTCTTGTTCTCTGTTCTTTACCTTGTCTTCTTTTACCTCTCTGACAATGTTCATTCTAGGTTTCTTCTTTCCTCTGCACTACTTATTTCCTTTTTTTCTTTCGATCATGTTGGTGCCTGTCTTTCATGTTTCCTCTGGTGACTGATACTCACTGGCTCTCTGTTACTGTCCAAGAGTGATCAGTTTACATGTGTGACGGTGGGGTTCATTGGAGGGAGATCAGGTGGGAACCAGACCCCTTTTTTTGGCGGGCACCCAGATGTTGTTATTTCCTGGGTTCTGTGTTGTTAACTTGTTTGCTTTTGTTTTTTTCTTGGGCTGGTCATTTTCCCCTGAGAAGAATCCTCTTGTCACTTGTCGTTGTCTTAAGACGAAAGCTCAGTGTTGTGAGTACTGAGTAGAGCAGAGGCAGGGAGGCCTCACACCCCACCTCAGTGCCCTGTTTTAAGTACAGCTCCTCATCCTCACACGCTGCTGTGCCTTTTGTCCCAGGCCTGGGGCTCCCATCAAGTAGTTTCTCTAAAGCATGTCCCCCCCTCCAGCCGGGTGAAGGAGAGGTGGTCACCTGGCTCTCTGGGGGTGTGCATAAACCACTCTCCTTAGTGCTCTTTCAAACCATGCTTGTTCTGTTCTGCGTTTGGTTCTGCAGCCTCTCTGTTCCCCTTGCCCGTAGGCCGAAGCCTCCAGCTCCTGGGCTCGGTTGAGTTCTGCAGCGTGAATCAGCTTCCCTCTCATTCACGTCCCCTTTGCAGGCACGTGGGTGTTTGCTTTCTTTCCATCAGTTACCATTTGTCCGTGTGCTCTTCACTTCCTCTCTCTTTGTCTTTGTCTTTGTGGGTTTCTGTGTTTTACGTTTTTACTCTTACTTTCGTGGGTCTTCATGGAGGAATGAAGATACACATGTATGTTCGATCAGATGTGTTTATCCTGAAGTGCTTGCTTTCTGTGGGTCTCCCTTTGCTCTGTCATGCCTCTGACCTTCCCTCTTGACTCGCGCCCCACATGGATAGCTCTCGGCCTTTTTTCCTGTTGTTGGTGCTAATGGAAAGATGCCATCCTCCCTGCTACAGGATCAGGTGATTCCTTCAGAGGGGGTCAGAGATTCTAGATCTTTGTTCTGCACCAGAAGTTCCGGAAGTTCTGTGAATTTGGGTCTTGCCTGTGTTTTCCTGCTTCCCCCCTAAGCCTCTCTTGTCGGGTTTCTGCTAGAGTTTGACGTGCCATTTTAACTTGCATTTCCTATCTCCTCTGAGCAGGGATGATTAATCTTTTTCTTCGTCGAGCCCACCTATCCTCAGTGATACCCAGGAGCTTGGCGTGTTCTCTAACGACAGCTAATGGCTGCTGAGATGTCGATTCACACACCAAGGATTTTTCACTTAAAGCAAAGGGAAGATAGGTGAACACAGGACACTCCTGTTTTCAGAGCCTTTATATTGATTGGCACCTTGAACATTATCAGTGCTTAATATGTTATATTCACTATTACTTTATTGGTTACTATTTCCTTCCCAACAGACTTAATTTAGTTGCTTTCACCAGGTCGGCAACTTGCAAGGGAATTTGAGATTTTCTCCTGGATAGTTGACCAAGAGATGAGTGATGTGTGTAGCGCACGTTTACTGAATGCAGAGCACTGTGCCTGGTGAGGAGAGACCTGCAGAGATTGGAGACACGGTCCCTACTCCAGCCAGTTGGCTCGGGACCGAAGCCTTACCATCAGTAGTTGTACTACAGAGATAAATGCTACCCTCACAAAGCAAACTGCATAGTGGGAGTAGTGTGGACGCAGGGACCAACCCTAGTGGGGAGATTGGGAAACACCAGAGAGGCTTGGTGCTGAGTCCGGTGGGCAGATGTCAGACTTCCAAGGATCCAGGGGGAAGGCCATGTCTGAAGACAGGCTCGCACAGGGATGTGGCTCCCTCTTGTCTGTCGTATGCCTTTCCGAGTAGATGAACGTCATACACATCTGGGGTTTTTTTGAGCGCTGTTTGCAAACCATATGTAATTCCAAATGTACTTTTCCAAATGTCTTAATGCTAATGCTGTTACATCGTTATAATGTTGATGTTGTTTTCCTAGCCGCCGATTCTTATACATCGTTAATCTAGATGCCCCTTTCGAAGGTCACCGAAAGATCTCTCGCCAGAGCAAATGGGACATTGGAGCTGTGCAGTGGAACCCTCATGACAGCCTCGCACACTATTTTGCAGCTTCGGTGAGCTCATTTAAGCAGTGCAGGAAAAGTCTTTTAAAAGTGTGAGCTGGGGCCAGTAGGTCTATGTTCTATGTAGAAAAGAGAATGTAACCATCACTTCTCAGGCAGAGAAGAAGTATGGATGGTTCTAGAAGGAAGATTGAGGCAAATTACTGACATATATATACACATGCGTGCATGTGTGTGTTTCTAGATGTGATGAGCAGATTTGCTGGCATTTGTGGTGTCGGATCTTGTGTTTCTGTGGCTCCAGATTTTGAAAGGGAAATGAGTAGATGCCTCCATTTCTGTGTGTGATAAGAACCTGTTTTCACTGGCAGGAAGGTAACTGGCCAGTGACTATGATGTTCATTGCTTTCAGAGGGATCAGAGGACTCCACACACCCTTCCACTCAAAGGAAGGGATTCTGTCTTGATTGGGATTCATTAGATCAGCTAACCCCCTGAGACTTTATGTTCCTGTTTATATGTGAATTTTTCCAGGGAAAAGATGCATACGTTTTATTAGGTTTTCGGAGGGATTCATGACTGAAAAAGGATCTGGGCTAGATCATCTCTGGGATCTTTCATCACATTCTCTATTAGCATCCTATTCTCCTAGAACAATTAGAAATCTACGCCTTTGGCTCCTTTTGCACTGGGCCGGGAGGACGGTATTTAAAAGAACCCGTCTTACCATCCAGGAGATGCTACCATTCACGGCGCTGTCTGGGTCTGTTCTTACCAGAAATGACAGTCTGAGAGAGGAAAGCGTCTGAGGAAAAAGAAAGAAGAGCAACGCTGTCAGCTTCAGAAGGAACAAAAAGCTGCTCTTCCCTGTCATTTCCAAAATAGAATCTGACTGTCTGACTCTCACCATAGACGTCTGAGGTGGAGCTGGTTTAGGGGACTGTTCTGAAGGAGAAGGGAGGGCCAGTCTCCTGCTTTTCCATTCCCAACCCTTTTCCTGTATGTTAGGAACAATGCTCTTTTTGTTGGCTTATACCTCTAGGACTTTCTCTCCCTCTCACCCTCAGCCCCTGATCATCTGACATTTGGTCCCGGGGTCCTCAGCCTTGGCACTATGACATCTCAGGCCAGATAATTCTTTGTGGCAGGGGCTGCCCTGTGCCTTGTGAGAGATCATGCAGCATCCCTGGCCTCTGTCTCCAAGTCCCCGTCTCCTCCTTGCCCTCCCCGTATTCATGACAACCAAAGATGCCTCCAGACATTGTTAAATGTCCCTGGGAAGCAAAATCGCCCCTGATTAGAAACCACTGCTTTAGGCTGACCAGCCAGTACTTGGCCCGAGTGGATTAACACTACATTTGTTTATAAGTGGTGAGATAACCCTTTTTTTGGGGGGGGGGCAATTGTTTTCTTTTCTTTTCTTTTTTCTTTTTATTTTTTTGACATTCATTTTAAAATGGACAATTTAATGTCACTTACTACATTCACGATGTTATACAACCATGCCCCTCTCTAGTTCCCAAACATTTCCATCACTCCAAATTAAAACCCCTTATCATTCAGCAGTTTTTCCGAATTCTCCCTCCCCACAGCCCCTGGCAACCACCAGTCTGTGCTCTGTCTCTGTGGATTTATCTGTTCTGGATTTTTCCTATAATTGGAACCATACAATACATGCCTTTTGTCTCTGCCTTCTTTATCTCCGTTGTAGCATGAATCAGTGCTTTACTCCTTTTTATGGCCGAATACTCTTCCATTGTACGGCCGTAACACATTTTGTTTAACGGTTCATTCACTGGTGGACATTTTGGGCTGGCTGTTGTGAATAAGGCATAAATGAACATGTGTGTACATGTACTTCTTTGAGTACTTGTTTTCACTTCTTTTGGGTATATACTTAGGAGTGAAATTGCAGGGTCATATGCTAAGTCTGTGTTTCTCTTTTTGAGGAATGACCAGACTGTTTTCTACAGTAGCTGAACAGTTTTATAGTCCTTCCAGCAATGGACGAAGGTTCCGGTTTCTCTACATCCTCATCAGAATTGTTGTTTTCTGTTTTTTTTTTTTAAATTTTTATTTTAAAAAATATTTTACTTATTTATTTGAGAGAGAGAGGATGTGCAAGAGAGCACAAGCAAGGGGGAGGAGCAGAGGGAGAGGGAGAAACAGACTCCCTGCTGAGCAGGGAGCCCGACACAGGGGCCGATCCCGACACAGGGGCCGATCCCAGGACTCCGAGATCACAGCCTGAACCCAAGGCAGACGCTCAACTGAGCCACCCAGGCACCCCTTTTTTCTTTAATTTTTAAATTACAGCCATCCTAGTGAGTAGAAAATGGTATCTCACTATGGTTTTGATTCACATTTCCCTAGTGACTAATGATGTAGAGCATCTTTTCATGTGCCCATTGGCCACTTGTAGACCTTTTTTAGAGAAATGTCTATTCAAGTCCGTTGCTCATTTTGGAATTAGGTTGTATGTCTTTTTGCTGCCGAGTTGTCAGAGTTCTTTATATATTCTTGATACTAGACTTTTGTCAGAGATACGATTTTTTTTAAATGTTTTATTTATTTATTTTAGACAGGGAGAGGAGCAGAGGGAGAGGGACAAGCAAACTCCCTGCTGAGCACAGAGCCCAACGCAGGTTTAGAATTGGAAACTGGCATTTCTGGTAATATATAGATATTAATGTACTTGCATCTTATGTATCAGTTCAGAAATTATTCAATACCTTTTAGTAATTAGACGGTTATCGTTTTTATTCACTTTTGGTGTTTTTCATAAGCTCATGATACTTAAATATTTTGCTGGCTTGTTGTTTCTTTTAGTGAAATGCAGCTTTTTCCTTTCCTTCTTTCCCTATTGTAGTGTGGTTTCTTCTGGCCGGTTTTTCCTGTGTCTTTTTACTTAAGCCTTTAAGAAATTTAGTATAGGCATATTTCAAGGAATCTTGTATAATTTTGCCTCCTAGGACACCCCTTTGGTGTTAGTTCTGTTTTCTTTCTTGTGCATATGTGTTTTTAAAGTGTGGTAGAAGGACTCCAGGCATTTGATAGGTGGGAAATTTGCGCTAAAAACATCTAGTGTGACAGCAGCTGGAGAGATGGGTGTGTGACCTTCCGCATTAGGATGTGGTCCTTCTGTCGGCCAGGGGACATCTCTATAACCCATCACTCACGTGCTCAGTAGTGGGTCTGTAGCTTCAGTGTAGCTGTCTGTACCTGTTCAGGGTGGGTACACTTTGTTTTTTTGTGTTTTTTTTTTAAAGATTTTATTTATTTATTTGACAGAGAGAGACACAGGGAGAGAGGGAACACAAGCAGGGGGAGTGGGAGAGGGAGAAGCAGGCCTCCCACGGAGCAGGGAGCCCGATGCGGGGCTCGATCCCAGGACCCTGGGATCATGACCTGAGCCAAAGGCAGATGCTTAACGACTGAGCCCCGCAGGCACCCCAGGGTGGGTTCACTTTGAAGACAGCACTAACCTTTAAGGACCTGGGTACTGAGCTGAGGTTGGCTCAGATGCTAAGCGTACTCACGTCTGATGGCTTGGTAAGGAAGTCAGTGTGTAGGATCTCTGCCATGCACGTTGGTTTCTCCATGGCTTCCTCTTCTCAGCCCTAGGCAGATTGCAGTGAGAGCATGTGTTCTCATGTGCTCCTGGCTGCCTTCTTTCCCTTGTTTCTTTTCAGAGTAACCAGCGGGTCGACCTTTATAAGTGGAAAGATGGCAGCGGGGAAGTTGGCACAACCTTACAAGGCCACACTCGGGTCATCAGGTAGGCACCAGCCCTCCCCAGCTCCTGGCCTGTCTCACTTTGTCAGCGTCCCGTGGGAAATGAAATGAAGACACCATCCTCCTTCCATGGCTTGACCCTCTGTGTTGCGTTGGCCGCGGGTGGCTGCGGGTCCTTCGCGTTCATGGTAGTGATGGCCCTCACAGTGAAGAGCAACCAGGATTTAGGAACCAGCATTCGTGTAACCGCTAAGCCTGATCCCAGGAGACACTCAGACAGGTACAGCCCAGTCTGGAGTGAAGGATTAGAGCCGATCTTTGCTGTAGGAGGGAGACACAGTTCTGCCAGCAGAATCGCTTCGCTCACAGTCGGCAGTGCCCAGGAGTACCGACGGTGGGATGCAGCCCTTTGCTCTTTCTCCAGCAGCTGTGGGGCACCACACAGAGCTCCTGCAGCAGAGTCCGTTATCCAGCTGCACGGTCGCCTCCTGCCTGTGGCCTTGGCCTCTGGAGTGTCCCTTGATCCATCCTGTCCTTAGGTCACTATTTCTGGCTGGGGAATACTCCTCCTGGGAAGTAGCAAGCAGGGAATGCAGGAGTGGGGACGCTGACCCAGGAAGTGCTGGGAAAGGCTAGACCCCCTGCCTGTGTTAATTGCGTAGGAACTGCCTTTCTAGGACGGAGGACCTGGGTAGGGAGGACTTGCCTGTCTTGAAAGCTACATGGCAATGTGGCAGGTTGCCACTGCTTTAAGAGATGTTGGTTTTACTCAAGGTACCTGTGGTTGAATCTGATTTAGAGAATGATAAGTCAAAAATTACTTCGTGTTTTTGCTGTGTGTGTGTGTGTGTGTGTGTGTGTGTGTGTGTTTGAAGTTAAATCTTCCATTTCTTTTTTGGGAGCAGGTGACAGTATAGCTGGTGATGACAGGGGGAAGGACCTGAAAGTTTCCTTTGAGGCTCAGTTAAGTCTTGTTCATTCCCAAAGAAGTTTGGAGATTGCTGCCCTAAGTCATGTTAAGGAGTCCCATGAATGGTGACTTCTGTGAAGCCACAAGAAACTAAATCTGCTGGTGCTTTGGAACGGACTCTGAACTCTGAATTTTTTCTCTTCGTTGTTGTTCTGTTTATTTCTCCTGTTCCCAGCGACTTGGACTGGGCCGTGTTTGAGCCAGATCTCCTGGTTACCAGCTCCGTGGACACCTACATCTACATTTGGGATATCAAGTAAGAACAATGAAAAGGCCAAACCACCAGGTTGTGGGATGATCTAGGACCTTTGTTTTAGAGATCAGGGGTCTTAGTGTGGTTTCCCCTTGATGCAGACTCTGAGTTGAGGATACATGGCAAGCACATTGTTTAGGAGGTCATAGAAATGCTGGTGGGGGATGGAGAAGAGAGACAGGACTGGGAAGGCTGCAGGTAGGGGGCGTGTTATCCACTGTAGGTACCACTGTGAACAAGTGGCGCTTATTCTTACTGGGGACTGCTAGGTGCTAGTGCAGAACTCCCTCCTCAGGTGTCCCACCCTCGAGGGCTAAGGAAGTGGGGGTGCCATCCTCTGTCAGTCATTGGTTGAAGCCTGCCCCCTGGGACCTCCCTTCCCTGGCACCTTAGGCCCGTCACAGAGGTGTGCAAAGCAGGCCTCAGCAAGCAGGGGAATCCCTCTGGCAGAGAAACAGAGGTGCTGGCGTTTGGAAGTCAGGCGGAAGTTTAACTGAAGTGACAGGTGACAGTGGGGGGGGTTGATGGGTACAGACACACATTGCTACAGCAGGCAGTGAGTGCTCTAAGGCCCATCTGCTTTGCTCTTGGTGAGGCTTCCATCCCCCGCCTGTAAGCGCCACTGAGAGCCACCTCTCAGGGTTACTCCTCCTGGAAGTGACGAGCGAAGGAGCACCCGGCCCAGGGCCTGGCCTGTCGTAAGTTCTTAATGAACATCTGTTCCCTTCTCCCTTCGTAGAGCAAAGTTCCCTTTGCCGTAACAATTTGAGGGGACTAACCAGGGGGTATAGTCCGTAGAGTCCCCCAGATGGGACCCCCTCCCCTCAGCAGACTGCTCTGCTCCCAAATGGCAGTGGCTCTGGGATGATTTACTCAGAGGTGGGCAGACCAGGGAAAGGGAGACCGCGAGTCAGGGTGTGCGCAGCTGACTTCACCTGCATCCCGCTCGCGTTAATGCTTCGTTGGTGATTCGTCTCATGGCAGCGCCGAGCGGGGAAGGGGCACAAAATCCGGGGGAAATGGAACGGGTCTGCTCTTAAATAAGCAAAACCCCAGGGGGACGACTGGGTGGCTCAGTTGGTTAAGAGTCTGCCGCTTCTCCCTCTGCCTGCCGCTCCCCCTGCTTGTGTTCTCTCTCTCTCTCTGACAAATAAATAAATAAAATCTTTAAAACAAACAAACAACAACAACAAAAAACCCCCACAAAACTTCAGGGAGCTACGAGGCTAGGTTAGAGTATTCCTCATTGATGTGAAATAATTGTTTTCATAATTTAAGGATTAAGGGACACTGAACGGATGATTCCTTTTCAGGTTTTCTGGATAGTAAGCGTGAGCCGCAGATTGGCCATCCGGTCCTCCTAGCTCTGCGTGGATCCCCAGTTCTGTCACGTTACCATTTCGTGGAGAAGTTGCCCTCCGGCCTTATAGTGAACCCAGGAGTCTCTCTCTCTGAGAGTCTTCCGTTCTATCCAGCAGTAGGGTTTTGTTTTTGTTTTTAATTGTGGTCAAAAAAACCCAAAACATAAAATTTACCATCTTTGCCATTTTTTAAAAAAGATTTTATTTATTTACTTATTTAGAGAGCAGGGGGAGAGGGAAAAGGGAGAGAGAGAGAAAATCTCAAGCAGGCTCCACACCCAGCTCAGAGCCCAACGCAGGGTTCTGTATCATGACCCTGAGATCGTGACCTGAGCCGAAATCAAGAGTCGGTCGCTCAACCGATGGAGCCCCTCAGTGCCCCCATCTTCACCATCTTTAAGTGTACAGTTCAGTAAAATATATTCACCTTGTTGCTCGACAGATCCCCAGAACTTTCTCATCTTACAAAGCTAAAACTACTCATTATGCACCTTCCCACTTTCTGTTTCTGTGGATTTGACTACTTGAGATACTTCATACAAGTGGAAGGGAAATCATGCAATATTTGTCTTTTTGTGACCGACTTATCTCACTTAACGTAATGTCCTCAAGGTCCATCCATGTTGTACCATATGCGACAGGATTTCCTTCCATCTCCAGGCTGAATAATATTCCCTTGTATGTATAGACCACATTCTGTTTATCCATTCATCTGTCGATGGACCCTTGGGCTGTTTCCACCTCCTAGCGACTGCGAATGTGAGGGTAGCTTTTTACTTCAGCTCTGAAGTGCTGCTGGGAAGGTCCTTGCAGAGTTAAGCCTCCATGACGGTCACTTCGTTGCCACCAGGAGAAATGGCACCAGGAAGGGATTCTTTGGGCTTCCTCCACCCCTGCATCAGGGTCATGCAGGCCATGCCGAATCATGTAGTTTGCTTTCTCTGGCTCCAACTGTGTGATTTGAAATTCAGCCTCAGTCTCATTTGAAGGAGCTGAGGAGGTTTGTCCCTGAAGGGAGATGGGCCTCTCTTTACCCTTGTTTTTAAGGCCCTCACGTTCCCTCTGAACCCTAAGCACCCACTGAAAGGGGAGTGGAGAACTGTGTGCAGAGGGTAGAAAGTCCCAGGTGGATGGTGGCCTACGGATCGGGCATTTGATCTCTGACTTTTCTATTCCAGAGACACAAGGAAGCCCACAGTTGCGCTGTCCGCTGTAGGTGAGTATTTGTTTCCCGCCTCGGCTCAGTTCCTTCCTTCCATCCCTTCTCTCACGGGGACTGCCCCTGCCCCAGTCCCCGGCTCAGCTGGGTGGGATTTTAGGTCTCAGAAGTTAGAGTCAGGAGTGCTAAGTATGGTCAGGAACTTATTTTAGGATTCAAGGCCAGGAGCCAAAATGGTTAGTTTTTAAACTTTTTATTGTGGAAAATTTCAAACGTGTATGAAAGTAGAAGAAGATGAAATTGCTTTATGTTCACGATCGAGCCTCAACAACTGTCACCGTCCAGCCAGTTTTATTTATTTCATCTTTACCTCTTCCCACTTTCCCACCCCCAACTCCCATCTCTTTTGGAATGATTTTGAAGGGGTGCCTGGGTGGCTCAGTCGGTTAAGCATCTGACTTTTGATCTCAGCTCAGGTCTTGATCTCAGGGTCGTGAGTTCAAGCCTCACGTTGGGCATGAAGCCTACTTAAAAAAACAAAAAGGAATTATTTTGAAGCATGTCCTGGGTGTCATATCATTTCCTCAACAAATATTTCAGTAAGTGATACTTACACAAGAGAAGAATCCTGTAAGAAAATATGATCACGATACCATAAACGGACCTAAAAATGTTAACAGTGGCTCTTTAATATCAAATATTTAAGCGATATTCAGATTTCCCTAATCTCAGTTGTTGTTGTTTTACAAATTATTTAAGTCAAAATCCAAATAAAAAACATACTTATAAGTGGTTGATATATTTCTCATCTTTTACAATTGGTAGGTTTCTTCTCCCTCTCCTTTTTTGGTTTATTTTTCTTTTCCTGAGGTTTATTTATTGAAGAAACCAGGTTGTTTGTCCTGTGGTTTCTCCATAATCTAGATTATGCCGATTGTGTCCCCATGTTGTCATTTAATGTGGATGTACTGAAACTTTGAAATTACTTTCTGGTCCCCCTGTTTTCATTGCTCAGTTGGAATTGACTGTTTTTAGAATTCTGCTTTGGGGCTGTTATGGGATATTTATGGAGAGTAAAATTTGGACATAGAACTGGTATATCTTACAGTGATGAAGCCCAGTCATCAGTATTGTGTTTTGAAGATTTATTTATTTATTTTTGGAAAGAGAGAGAGAGAGAGAAAGAGTGGGGGGAAGCAGGGGAAGAGGGAGAGAATCCAAGCAGACTGCACTGAGCACACCCAACTCTGGGTTCGATCTCACGATCCCGAGATCATGACCTGAGCCGAAACCAAGAGTTGGTGGCTTAACCGACTGAGCCACACAGGTGCCCATCTGTATTGTATTTTGGCATCCTTGTTAAAAATGTACATTGTCTGTCTCTTAAATCCTGCTCCTTTGTATGTTTTTGGTACATTTGAATTCACATTTGGTGTTTGCTCCAAAGTGATTACATGATTCTTCTTTTTTCTCTCACATCTCCATGCCTCATCATTTAAAGACATTGAGCATCACGACTGTATTAAGCAGGTGGATTATCTGTTCTGGGCAGTTAGGGACCATGTCTGTTTTGTTCAGTGCTGTAGACCAAGGTCAGACCACCTGTCTGACCCGGGGAGATGCTCTGTAAATGTTTGTTAAATGGCGGTGGGGATCAAGCATCTGTGCCTCTGGGCTAAGTGTTTAAATAAATCTGTTGCTCTGCCCCTCACCTCCTGCCTTACTCCCGCCACCTTGGCTTTTAGGCACTTATGACCTGAGACACATGATGGCCCACAGACATGGTTGCAGAGGACATCCAACTGAATGAAATACAAATGGTCTGTAAATGCCTCAGTTACCTCCCTGGGATTCTGTTGCTTCTACTTAGAGGTTTCTAAGTTAGGCTGGTCGTAGAGGAGCTATAAAAAGAAAGACAGTTCTTTTTTTCAGCCCACTTGCTCTGATTACTTTCTTTTCTGTTGTAAGTCCTCTAAAGAAGAGAGGTGGGAGACTTCTTTTTTGCACCTCAGTGAGATTTCTCAGTGGTAGCACAGCTGCCCTGGGAGAAAAGAGGCAAGTGAGAGGCTGTGGATTTGGTAAGCTGCTTGGTCTACCATTCCCTGAAGGTGCAACCTTGGCCAGTTGTTTATGGTGTTGTTTCTGCCTTTGGGGTAGGAAGAAGTAAGAGCCTGTGTGTACTTCAGAGTATTCGCTGTCTGAGAGCACCAAAGGTCTGGGAACTCTGTTTGACTCTGTTGTCACGATCCTAGTAGATTGAATTAGGGGGTTTCCTTCCCTTTGGAAGGCTTCATGGTCTGATGGACCCCACACTGGGGAAAGTATGTTTCTTTTGGAAGTCTTTGAGTAATCTGTCTTGAGGAACCGGGGCAGGCTCTTCCTACTCACTTTCTCCTCTAGCTGATACCCTTTCTTGCAAACAAACTGGGTCTCCTACACTAGCTTCCTCCTTTAGGGGTCTCCACCATTCATTCCTAGGTGACTTAAGATGCCCTGTGTCTCAAGCAAAAAAACACAACAAACAAACAAATACCCTCACCAAAACCAAGCAACGGTAACTTCTGGGTCTTAACTCCATTTCCTGTTAGATTCTGAGTCCTTGCTGTGTCAGTCCCACTCTACACTTCTTGGATCAGGTTGCCTTCCATAGCCCTGGGTCCACGACGATGTCCCCAGTAATAAACACCCACCCAAAGGGAGAAATACGTGTGGCCTGAGCAAGGACAAGAAGAGATGGGAAGGAAAGCCATTGTGTTGTTCTGGTTTAACTTAATTAACTTGGTTATTTTTAAGAGCTAGAAGTGCTGATATGTCCTAGATTTCCACAGGTCTCAGCCCCTCTGGCATCTTGTGCTATGTCTCCTCTCACATAGCTCCCTCGTTACTGTTGTTACCTCTTTGTGTTGGCAGAGTCGGGAAAGGACTCAGTTCACAGTGCGGGGCACGTTCCTGTTTCCTGACTTAATACAGGGCCGGTGGCCACATGCAGCCACTGTTGGAAGGAGAGAGTGCAGGAGGGAAATGGTGCACAGATCCTTCTGAGGGCAGAATTGGGCAACACGGGGGCTTATTCTTCAGCTGAGGTTCAGGAACCTTTCTTTCTCCAAGGTTGCCCTCCTAAATAGGTAAGAAAGTGAGTGAGTCAGTGGGAAGGAGCAGGCATTGAGCGGAGGCTCTTCTGAGTGGGAGCGCCAGGCTGATCGCTGGGGATGATGAAGAGCCAGGCTGTGTGATGGGCAGTCAGTTACCAACTACAGAGCCATGTTGAGCTGCTGCTTGTGAGAAACCATGTTTCCCTGCTGATTCTGTGTGGAGGTAATCTGTAGAGTTTTTTCCTAAGTGAGACTGTTTCCTCAATTAGCTGACTCTGATCCTGTTCCGGTGTGTTAATTCATTTATTTTTTGGCCTCATTTTCTCTTTAACGGTGGAGCTGGTGTAGTCGTAGAAACCTGAAGGGTTCTGTTTGCCTTCAGCTGGAACTCATTATCCAGCCGCCCTGGATGTTCTCTACTCTGGTGCCAGGGGGGTTGAGGGCAGTCACTTTCTTCCCCTGATTTTTCTTTGCAGCCGGTGCCTCACAGGTCAAATGGAATAAAAAGAATGCTAATTGCCTTGCCACCAGTCATGATGGGGATGTGCGGATATGGGACAAACGGGTGAGTAATCTCTTCCCTCCCACCCCAGTGGGTCTTTAGTTGCTCCCAGGGGGTGTGAGGAGGATGCTGTGAGTAGCAGGACTCATCTTGAGAGGCCAGGGTGCCCTGTGCACTGCGGCAAATTGCCATCTTAAGATCACAGTACCAGAAGACATTTGCTTCCTGATCAAATTGATGTTGAAGGAAGATAGAGAATATTATGATCAGTGGTTAAGAAAATGAACTGGGCCTGACCTAAGTTAGAGCCCCACTTCGCTATCTCCTAATTATGATATCAGCTGAGCCACTACACTTCTCCGAGCCTCAGTTACCTTATCTTCAAAACGAAGATAATGATAGTGAGTATGTCATTGAGGAGGTCAAGCCCGGGGACCAGACACTATTCTAGAATGGTCAGCAGGCTTCTTATCCCTGCCTCAGATTGCAGAGCGCAAACTGGTTGTTCTAGGACATATTCTGTCCTGGATATTTCTGGTATAAATCACCGAGGCAAGGTACTTAGGGTCCTCAAATCCTCCCTTAGACATCCAGCTGTCCCGTCAGCCTCACAAGAGCCTGCAGAGCATATATTCTTCCTTCACAGCCCGTGTAACTGATGGGCACAGAAGCGGTGCAGGGTCCTGGGCTGCCACCGCCACGGAGAGTCTTTTGAGAGTTTGGTTTGTTGGCATCAGTGAGAACAGTGATGCAGGCAAAGGCTCCCCCATACCCCCATGCCGCATACCCGACTGGCAGTCGACTTTGTAAGATCTGGGGTGTCTACTGCTTCCTGCTTTCTGAAACTGGAGGCTAGAGCTCCTCAGCTTCTGTGGGACGTACGCACTTTCAGTCTTCCTGAAACTATCAGCCCGGGTGCTGTCACCTCTTAGCACGGCTTCTGGCAGCCCCGTCCCTTCCCTGTGGCAGGGAGTTGGTCAGACATTTGGGCAGAGGAGAAGGAAATGAAGCAGGGATGGGGAGTCTGCTGGATTGGGTGCCACATTCTGCTAGGGAAGCATGTGCTGGCTGAAGTCCTCTGCCTTATGTGGCTCTTGGGTGAGAAGGTGATTTTGTAAGTAGGGGTTAGACAGGTACGTCTTCTATGTGTTAGTATTTGTCTCTTTCGCTTAGTCCTGTCTCGTAATAGCCATTCTCCCCTCTCTTGATTTCTTAAAGTGGCGATTGGTTTTGTTCCTTTCATCACTAGCATAGCATTTAAATATAGTAAATGGTTTAAATAAAATACTTGGTTAGTTTGTCATGCATACAGACTTGCTTTAGACTGTTTTCAGGCCATAGGCAAAAATAAACCATTTGGTATCTAGCCATAAATCCTATCAGGACTTGTCTTCCAAACTAGTATTGGAAAACCAGTAGGGTTCCTTATCTTGCAGAAACAGACGTCAAACTATTCCTCCCTAGTCTTCCAGTTGGTCCACTGAGAATCCTGACTTCCCTCAGCAATTCTATCTGTTTTGTTTAAAGGGTTTTAACTTTTTTTTTTTTTTTGCTCTTAATACTTACAGCTTTTGCTCAGATGGATTATAAAACTTGTAGGTCATATTTTTACTTCTCTGGCACTTTCCAGTGTCAAGTAACACCGATGACACCAAGCATCAGAGGCTTAAAAAAGTACAGTATTGGTGGCGAGGTTGGATTTCATTCAAACACCCCAGTGACAAATCGTAGTAACATTTACTACACGTTTATTATGCACAGACATTGTTCGAAGAACTCTCTTTATAACTAGTCTTTAAAGTAAGTGCTATCTTTATCCCCATTCTACAGATGAGTAAACTGAGGCTTTGTTTGTTGTTGGGATTTGAACTCAGGGAGGCTGGTTCTGAAGACTGATCTTAACCTCATAGACCAACGCTGATTATAGAAGTAATAGATGCTCTTTGTAGAAAATGTAGAAGGGAAAATAAAAAACGTTTATAGGCCCATTACCCAGAGACAAATGCTAACATTTTGGTGTTTTCTTTTCTTGTGCTTTTTAAAAACATGGTTTATCCTATCACATACATGGTCTTGCATACTTTTTCCATTTAATAGCATTTTCCCTGTGCTATAATCCCTAAGTCCAACATTTAGTGGCTATATCATATTATGTCAGATAGCCGCACAATAATTGACTCTAAAATTTAATTATTCCCCATTTACTGTTGTTTCTAGTTTTCTGGTGTTCCAAATAACATCAAGATGAACCTCTTTTGTTATCTAAAGCTTTTTGTGAAATTTCAGTATTCTCTTAAGAAGGGAAAATTTTAAGTTGCTTGATAAAAATTGTCTAAGTTTTTTGCCAAAAGGTTGTACTATTTTGTATAAACACCAGCAGTGACAAATGTAGCCTTGCCAGCATTGAGTATTATTTACAAGTATCTTCTAATTTGATAGCTTAGTAAAATCTGACTTTAATGTATATTTCTGCGGTTTCCTCCCGAGTTTGCTTGTTTTATATAAGCTTATTAGTCATGTCTAGTTATCTTCTGTGATCTGTGATGTGTGTTCATCCTCTTTGGGGGTCTTGGTGCTCAATTACTTTAAGATTGGTGGTTTTACATCCAGTCTCGAGGTGAGGTCTGTTCGAACGTCACAGCCCCTCTTCTTGGGTGATAGGGAGGAAGGGGAGCAGGGATTGCAGACTGCGCTGCTCAGGGAAGGAGCACCCACTACCCTGTATCCTTCATTAAAGCCATGCCTGGGGCTGGAGCAGGACATCATATTCACAGGCCCGAATACAGAGCATGCGTGAAGGAGGGTTGGCGAAGTCTTTCTCTGTTTTGTTTTTTTAAACAAAACAAAGTGGAGTTTCTTAAGGATAGAGACAGGATCTGGTAGTGTGTTTGTGTCCCCATCCAGTCCCCAGCAGACTGTTCCGTGGTAGACACTCAGGGAGTTCTTTCTAACTTAACAACACTCAGTGCCCATCCTGTTGTAGAAACCCAGCACGGCAGTGGAGTATCTCGCAGCCCACCTCTCCAAAATCCACGGCCTGGACTGGCACCCAGACATTGAGCACGTTCTTGCTACCTCCAGTCAGGACAACTCTGTCAAGGTGAGTGACCCCCGGGGACCGTTGGGGGAGCTGCGTGTGGGAGGCATCAGATTTTGTAGCAGCACTTTGCTGGGAAGGAAAGCTGCACTAAGCACAGTGTGTGTGTGCGGTAGGGGTGCGGGGCAAGGAAGCGGGGTTGCCTGGGCCAGTAGGAACAGTGGAGTAGCATATCTCTGATGGGGCTCCTGGGATTTGCTCAGAGTGTTTTCTTCTTTCCCTTCGTGAAGGGAAGTCAGAGACTAAACCATTTAGAAAGGAGAAGTTCATTTGCCAAGAAGTTGCCAGGAAGTGAGATTTCAGGAAAAAAAACAACGCCAAACCAAACCAGATATATCAGTAAAGGAAAAAAGCCCACAAAATTGTTAAGGTTACCAAGTTTATGATTAGTCTCCCTGGGGTGGAAAACTAGCAATTTTCTCACATCATTATCATATCTACAAAAGTTAGGACATCGTCAGTCAGCATTGCTAAAGTCAGGGATAGAGTTGTTTTACTAGAGATTCTCTCTAACTTCCAGGAAATGCTCCAGGGTTTCTGTTGTTTCCGTGACCCTATTGTTTTTGGTTTATCTCAGAGCACAGCATTTCTTGTTGTTTGTTTTTCCTGTCCTGATTCTGGGATGTGGTGCCTTTAGAAGGATGCAGGGCACAGGGCCAGCCTCATTCCACAGGCCCTCCTTGTGGTCGGGTCCCTGTCTGAAAGGACAGAGATTTGACCACAGAAGTTTGCTTAGCAATTTTGTGATTCAGCATCATTAACGTAATGCTTTGTTTACATGGGCACATGGACAATGTCATTTTTTGGTATGGTGAGCAAAACTAGAATCATAACACTAAGGCCTGAAAAGTTAACTTCTGTCTTGAGCTTTGTAAATCCCTTAGGGTTGTCATTTACTTTTATGTGCCAGAGTGGGTTTTTTTGGTCTGTTTTGGGTTTGGGTTTTTGTCACCTTGTCATCCAAGTTCAGAACCCAGAAACCATCCAGTTCCCCTCCTCCTCTTTCCTCAAGTTTGTCACTGTTCAGTGACATCTTTACCACCTGTGAGGCTGGATTCCATGGGTATTCAAGCAATAGACCAGTTTCCACATGTGAGACTCAGTTCTTGTTCCTTACTTGTAGGCTGAGCTTATGAATTAAATGAGACTTTAAAAAAAATTTTTTTTTAAAGATTTTTTTGATTTATTTGATAGAAACAGCGAGAGAGGGAGCACAAGCAGGAGGAGTGGGAGAGAGAGAAGCAGGCTTCCTGCTGAGCAGGGAGCCCGATGTAGGGCTTGATCCTGGGACCCTGGGATCATGACCTGAGCCGAAGGCAGACGCTTAATGACTGAGCCACCCAGGCGCCCCGAGACTTTTGACATGGTTATTTAATTTATTTCACTGTATCCTGGTGGAAGGAAGACAGTTTTTATTGAATGTATATAAATAGCATAATTGTAAAAAGTGAAGCAGTTTTAGAGGCACTTTGCATAATATTCACCCATCATTTTTAGTTATTTGTAGATCAGGATCAGTATGTCATTTTTTCCTGCATAATCATTTTCTTAAGTTTACCTGATGATAGATTAGCTTATAATTTGTAGTAATACATTTTTGTTATATTTTTATTTTCTGAATTGAAGGGGTACGCTGGAACAAGATACCATTGAATGAATGTTTCACCTGAGTTTATAAATTATTAAACTGTGAAACTGTTGAATTGAGGGTTAGAGCTAGATCGAGAAGAAAGAAAAGGATTTTTCTTATATGGCTATTAAAAATAGACCATTAACCACAATGAGATGAATTCATACCAGTTTAATGATTTTTTTTTCCCCCTGATCTTGGGTTAAGCAGTCAATTTTACAACACTGCCTTCTTCTAGACGAAGAGTCCTGGAAATCCAGACACAGTTCCTTGGTCCATCCCGACATCTGTGTCTGCCCGTGGGTCAAGGTCAGCCTTCCCGAGTCCTGTACCCACGAGGCTGTTCAAGAACCTGGTTCTTTCTTGCCTGAGGCTCCTCTGGTATTTCTTCAGAAGCCTTCCTTTCTGGTCTGTAGCTTGTAGCAAAGGCCTTTTGGCAGGGAAGAGAAAAGCAGAAATTACCTGTGGACGAGAGGACGGCATGGCTGTTCTGGTTCTTACGGTGACCAGTGTGTCAGGTTGAAACAGACTGAAGTCATTCACATGCAGCATATAATCATTTCATAAGACTGGCAGTTGTTGCCTTGAGCATAAGACCATGTTATGAAGTGAGTGAGGCCTTGCTCAAATCCCCAGGGGCCTCTAACTTGTCCCATAATTATATGTTATAATTATATGGTATAATGCTCACCAATCGAGCATATTTAAATCTGGAAACAAATCTTTTTTTTTTTAAAGGATCGATTTTGTTAACAGTTATCGTGACAGTCTGTAAATAAGCATGAAAAGGACCCAATTGCCTTAATATATTCATAGTACTAATAGTTTACCTGTATGTAATTAACTTAGGGAGGTTGAACTTTTTATTTGCTAGTTTTTCACATTGGTAGACTTGATAATAGGAAGACATTCACAAAGTGTTGATCTAATTAAGAGTCTGGAGAGTGCCAAGCTGACCTCGTGATTTCTAGTTTCCCTTCTTTTGTAAGTTGAGGGAGCAAGTTATAGTTTTCCCTGTAGCCATCGAGGGAAACCCAGAAGAAGTTTAGTTGGAAAACACATCTTAGGGGCGCCTGGGTGGCTCAGTCGTTAGGCATCTGCCTTCGGCTCAGGTCATGATCCCAGGGTCCTGGGATTGAGCCCCGCATCAGGCTCCTTGCTCAGTGGGGAGCCTGCTTCTCCCTCTCCCACTCCTTCTGCTTGTGTTCCCTCTCTTGCTGTCTCTCTGTCTGTCAAATAAATAAAATCTTAAAAAAAAAAGAAAACACATCTTAACAATTTTATTATTTTGAATATAGAGCCTGAATTTGGCAAAAAGAGAGTTGTCAGAAGAAACAAGAATTACCTCATGTGATCCCTTTATAGTCACATCCTCCTTCAACCCCTAACTTTTAGCAGCCACTAATATGTTCTCCATCACTGTAGTTTGAGGTCATTTATTTTTTTTTTTGAGATTAAAAAATTTTTTTTATTAGAGAGTACAAGCAGGGGGAACGGCAGGCAGAGGCAGAGGGAGAGGGAGAAGCAGGCTCCCCGCCAAGCAAGGAGCCCAATGTGGGGCTCAATCCCAGGACCCCGGGATCATGACCTGAGCCGAAGGCAGACGCTTAACCGTCTGAGCCACCCAGGTGCCCCGAGAAGGTTATTTAAATGGAATGATTCAGGATGTAACTTTCTGAGTTGGCTTCTTTCACTCAGGATAGCACCTTCAAGATTCATCCAAGGTGTTTTAAGAATCGATAGATGATATACTTTTAGTTGGCGAATAGTAATCCACTGTATGAATATGCTACAGTTTATTATCTGTTGACCTGTTGAAGAACATTGATTGGGCCGTCAGCACTTTTTGATGATTGTGAATAGAGCTGCTATAAACATTCACGTATAGATTTTCCTGTGAATGGAACTTTCCAGTTTTCCAGGACAAATAGGAGTTGGGATCACTGGGTCAATGGTATATGCATGTTTAACTTCTTAAGAAACTGCCAAACTGTCATCTATTTTTGAAAATAATTTCTTAATACTGGAATAGTTCAGAGTTTCAGTCTTGGGCCTCCTGCCTTTGGTGTTCTACCATTTTCTGCTTCATGACAAATGCTCAGGCTCTAAGTATAGTTGTGTCTCTTCCTTGAAAGCACAGGCGTCTCTAAGGCAGAGTGTGTTGGGCTCACTCTGCATTCTGGAGCCTTACATTCCGCACGGTCAGTGGCGGAGCGGGTGAGTGTGTACGTGAGTGCATTGGTGGCCAAACAGCCACCTCTTTCCTGTGTGACCTTGGGCAAGTTAGATTGTTTAGTAATTTAGCTTCTACTTTTGAGAAAGAACTGAATGACACCCATTATTTGGTTGTCGCAAAGATTAAATGGGATAAAAAAACCTAAAGCTCTCAACTCTGTCTCGAATGCAGTAAGTAGTCAGCACATCGGCTGTCTTTAGTCGTTACTTTGCCCTGCATGATGTAAGTGACACAGGGTGAAAGCTTGTCACTCTGACCTTTCACCTGCAGGCCCGTTTAATGGGCTGACCCTGATCTGCCCTGAGGGCTGGTCCTGGTGAGGTTGGGAAATTCTCCTATAATGTTGATATATGGGAAAGGTTTTGTGTGTCTGCCCCTCTCCCCTGGCTAGGAGGGCTGCCGGGAACACACTGAGGACAGAGAGTGAAGGGACCGCAGGCTGCGCTTATTTCAATTGCAGAGTTTTTTAATGGCATTTATTTCACATATTATCCTGTTTTCTTTCTTCCAGTTCTGGGATTACCGCCAGCCTCGGAAATACCTCAGTATTCTCCCTTGCCAGGTGCCTGTCTGGAAGGCCAGATACACTGTGAGTGGGACACCCCACCTCCTGCTGGGGAGCTTCACCTTAGTGTTCCAGACGTGGGGGCCAAGGGCCCTCTTCTCTTATTTTCTTTGTGAGGCAGTTTTCTTTTTCTGTCTTGGCTGAGGGGTGGGGCAAAGGCGGTCATGACGGCATAAAAGCTGGTATGTATTTAAAAACTTGCTCTTGGAATGTTGGGGAAGAATCTGTGGGAGAGTTGCTGACCATAGACTGGGAGGCCGGGGCGCATGCAGGTGGTCACTAATGGCAGGGGAAGGGGGAGAGGTGGCGCCAGAGGGTTGTGGGGCTTGCGGTCAGTAGATCGTGGTGGAAAGAAATCTGGCTTTAGATTCAGAAGACCTGGGTTTTGGGTCCGTCCGTGCCTTTGAATTTTTTCCCAAGATTTACTGAGAAGTAATTGACGTGTAACATTGTATAAGTTCAAGATGTACACTTATTTCACTTAGCATAATGCCTTCAACCCCACCCATGTTGTGGCACATGATGGGATTTCCTTCTTTCTTGTGGCTGAATAATATTCCATTGTGTGTGTGTGTGTGTGTGTGTGTGGTGTAAGATACATCTTCTTTATCTGTTCATCCATTGATGCGCACTTGATTGTTTCCATATTTGCAGTGAGCCATTTAATATTTGTGTGGCCTTGGGCAAGCTGCTGGATGCTCTTGAACAATACTTTCCTCCTCTGTAGCATATGAATATAATTTTTACCAGGCCTTCCTTTTTATTATTGTGATAAAATTTACCGTTTTAAAGTATGCTGTTCGGTGGCATTTAGCACACGCACAATATGTCTTTCCTTTTGAAAAATGGTATGTGAAAGTGCTTTAGAAACCATAAAATGCTACAGATAGAGGGGATAGGCTATTAGTCTTTCAGCAATTTTCCCATTGTCACATTGATAGCTTCTGATCAGAGATAATATACTTTCTTCAGTGTCAGCTTGAAAGGGAGTACAGGGATGAATAAAGCTGCCTTTATGCATTAGGCTGTCACCCTGAGGCGCTGTGGAACATAGAAGATAATTTAGGTATTAAATGCCTTTTGCATCTGGGAGCGCTTGTCAAGAAATCAGACATTGTTCTTATGAATTAGAATACTTCTCTGGATTAATATGTTTACTTTAAAAAATAAACAGCGAAGTCCAGGAGTGCTGCCAGGAGGGAAAGTGAAGATAAATGTGCTTTTAGGTGACTGTGGTTTATTCCTTCCAGAACAGAGTCTGATTATCTACCAAATGGGCCCCCTTAGCTACCTAGCAGATTAGGTGTTGATAAGTAAAACGTGTCAGTCCTGAAACTGGAGGGTTTCCCTCTGAATAGCTGTAGTTTGGGGGGCCGTGGGAAGGCGATGTTTCGTGTAGATGCTGTGCTTCTGGTGCATTTCCACATGGCAAGAACTCTGCTCGCTGCTCTGGGGTTTTCCCCAGTGTGTCTTGCATACTCGTTCTGGATGTGAAACAGTGTGTTCTGTTCAGAGCCATTTGCTTATTTTAGAATTTAAAGTTCTCCAAGTATTTGGCTTAGCTTTATTTTTTACTCGCTTTGGTCCCTTCCATGCACAGAAAAAGGGAATAAATGCAAAAGAAAAGTAGATGTGATGGTTAACTTATGGTATTTGGAAAACATTTCCCCAGATGGGTTGGGGCCTTCCATCATCTCGTTTATGTTAGTTAGGAAAGCATTCCAACTTTGGTAATTCAAGATTCAGCTGACTCTCCCTGGAATAACCACCTGCTTTTCCCTTTCCTGCCGTAGCCTTTCAGCAATGGACTGGTGACTGTGATGGTCCCCCAGCTGCGGAGGGAAAATAGTCTCCTCTTGTGGAACGTCTTTGACTTGAACACCCCAGTCCACACGTTTGTGGGCCACGATGATGTGGTGCTGGAGTTCCAGTGGAGGAAACAGAAGGAGGGTGAGTGAGTGGGAGCCTGATTTCCTTCTGAGCCATGTTCCACAGAAGCTCCAGTAAGGTTGGCCATGTGGTCCAGTGCAGAGGACGCAGACCCCTCAGCTCTGGGCTTGAGGAATGGGAGAGTCAGGGAGACCGCCACCTACCCACTGTAGACGGGTAAAGGGGTGTGTGTCTGTGGCTTGTCTCCCAAGCTCCCGCCTCTTCTCAGGTTCAGTATCATCTCTCACCTGCATGGAAGAGATCTGTAAGAGATGGAGACTTGCTGTTGGATCATCTCTAGGGCTGAAAAACTCTGGGGTCACAGTCCTCAGAAGCCTGGCGTTTGCTCCTTGCCACTCTGGGGAGGAAGGAGACCTGAGGTCATCATTAGCACCGCCCCCCACCACGTATGCCTAGTTCCCTTCACAATGCACAGTGGTCTTTTACCTCCCACTTCCTTGAAGATGGGTTTGACCGCATGTCTTGCTTTGGTCATGAGACATGAACAGAGTGATACGATCTCTTCTGGGTTGAAGCATTAGCGGCCATTGTACAATTACACGCTGTCTTTGCTTCTGCCACCGCAACTGGCAAAACTCCAGCTGGAGCTGTGCCCGTGAGCAAGATGTCCTTGCTTAATCCTCTGAGATTTGGGGATTGTTTGTTGCTGCAGCTTCAGCTAGCCAGCCCTCACTAATGCAGGGTCAAGTGTAATGGAGTCAGAAGCCCTCAGCCTCGGCTGCTCCACCAGCTCACCATGCAAACTTAGTTGCAGCCTCTCTTTTCCTGAGATCTTATTGTCACGATCTCTAAAGGTTTTACAGAACAGAAATATATTTCTTGGTCTTTCCATATTATGGAAGGAAAGCCAGGCAGTGGAGTCGTGTGACCTGTCCAGGGTCCCAGGAAAGGTCTCGGGTAGACCTGGGATTATAGCACTCCTCTTATTCCGGCTTATTTGTGACCTTCGCAAGCCTTTCTTCCAGGATAGTTTTTGAAGGGACTCTTTTGATCATCCTCTTAATTTTCTCATCTTTATTTCCCGAATATCCCTGCTTCTAGGAACGTGAGGCTGCTTGGTCTTTATCCCATCAGTTTGCATGCATGACTTTGACTTTCAACTTCCTTTCTTGCATTTTGCCATAGTAAACAGATGAAGTTGTTTCCTCATAGTCTAGCAGGGAAAGGTTGGCCTGTAGTTCTGGCTTGAAACAAAGTTTTTGGCAACCCATTTTCAGGGGTTTGGCACCCCTTTATCTGTGTCATCCGTGAGCTGGCAGGCTGAATGGTGTACATGGGGGCCATCTAGTCAGTAGTGAGATTTTGAGTGCAAGTTACAGGTGTTTCTTCAAATTCTTTTTATTGTAAAGTGTATCATCTGTCTAGAAAATTGCATAAAACCTGTACAATCTTACAAATTTTGAAGTGAATATCTATGTAACTACCACCACGGGCTAGAAAGGGAACATTGCTTGAGCCCCAGATCCAGTCCTTTTCCTTCCCTAGAAGGAAACGCTGTCCTAATAATTATGAGAGTGATTTCTGTTGTTACTTTTATAGTTTTGCCACCGTTCATGCATCCCTCGAAATAGTTTCAGCTCGCTTGTTGGACCTTTTGTAAATGTAATCCTCCTGCACGTATTCTTGTATTTTACTTCTTTTTCAACCACTGCTGCTCCATTTTATTTTACTTCCATGGCTTCTTAGTCAGTTTTTACTGGATCACCTCAAGCTTTGACTAGGGTTCTCACTGCGGTGCCGGAGCTCTTAGAGTGCTAGCAAGAGAATTGGGATATCATGGCCAAGGGAAGGGGATGCTTCATGAAGGAAGCTCCAGTCACTGGTTTCAGATGTTGCTGAAGGATCAAGGTGCAGAGTAAGAGGAAAGCACTTAGTGGTACAAATAGGAAGCTATGTGATCATTAAGAGACCAGTTCCAGAAGCAGATTGCGGATAGAAGCCGGATCGTAAGGCAACATGAACAGAGGCAGCAGGAACTGGTTTTGTGGATGAAGTCGCTTTCACAGGCAAGGAGCAGACTAAGTAGATCTTAGAACTGCTCCCCTCTCTGTCTGAGGGCAAGGAGAGGGTGCAAGAGAGGCAGTATGTGGGAAAGCAAGGGCCCTTGGAATGGGGGTGAAGGCACTGGTGGAGGGGTTGGGATTTGAGTGGAATTAGGGGTAACTTTTCTCCACAGTCAGGAACGTGAAAAGAAGCCAGATGTGAATGCAGACGATTGCTGATGTGAACATGAGTCTGTACAGGGTCCAGGGGACTGCTGGCAGGCAGCCGTTCAGAAGACTTGTGTCCTGCCGGGCATGCGCAAGGATACAGCAGCACCCTGAGGAGCGAAGGCCCAAATGGGGGCAGGGACACAGAGAAGGAACTTCTGCCCCTCACCCACCCTTTTAGCTTGGACACATCATGTGTTCTGCTGCCTCCATTTTCCCATCTGTAAAATGAAGGAATTGGATGAAATTCAATTCTAAACTCTTTTAAATTCTTTGCTCTCTAAGGATGGCCATAAAGGAGATTCTTTTTTTTTTTCAGAATTTTTTTTTTTTTAATTTATTTATTTGAGACAGAGAGATACAGAGAGAGAGAGAGAGTAGGAGCAGTGGGGAGAGGCAGAGGGAGAGGGAGAAGCAGACTCCCCACTGAGCAGGGAGCCTGATGCGGGGCTCGATCCCAGGACCTGGAGATCATGACCTGAGCCGAAGGCAGACGCTTAACGACTGAGCCAGCCAGGCGCCCCCATAAAGGAGATTCTTGATATGACCTAATTACTCAGAAATGCCCTGATCCTTTCATAAAGCTCCCTCAATGATTTTAGAATAGTTTCCCTCTGACCAGACCTGATATATGGAAATATAACTCAGTCAATTAAGAACACTCAATCAAGATTGATTATCCTTTTTTTTTTAAAAGCTTTTATTTATTTATTCGACAGAAAGAGAGATAGCAAGAGCAGGAACACAAGCAGGGGGAGTGGGAGAGGGAGAAGCAGACCCCCCGCTGAGCAGGGAGCCCTATGCGGGGCTCGATCCCAGGACCCTGGGATCATGACCTGAGCCAAAGGCAGACGCTTAATGACTGAGCCACCCAGGTGCCCCGATTGATTATCCATTTTATAAAGAGATGCATCTCTTTACCAAAAAATTCTTTTAAATGGCAAGGTGCCGTTATGCATTTAAAGCAATTCGTTTCACAAAAATCATATTCATGCTCAGCTCCTCTGGAGCATATAAAAGGAGGAACATTTGTGCAGGCGAAAGTTCAATGTGACGTTAAATCCCAGCATCCCTCTTCACCAGCTGAGCTGCCAGATATTCTTTCATTTCATTTAAGTTTCTGCTCAAATCTGACTTCCTCAGGGAGGCCTGTCTAAAGATAGCTCCACCATCAGTTCTCTAATCCTGGGTGTTGTTGTTGTGTTTTTTTTGTTTGTTTAATAACACTGTCACTACCAGACATTTTATTATGTATTTATCTATTTGTCTGTTGCCACCACTGGATTGTGAGATCTATAAAGACAGAGACTGTAGTATTCATGTTTGTCCTAGTACCTAGAGCAGTGCCTGACGTCTAGGAGATGGTCAACAAGTTTTTGTTGAATGGATGGATGAAGGAATCTCACCCCATTGCAACCTGTAGCAAAACTGATGTTGAATTAAAAAAAAAAAAAAAAAAAATTCCAGGGGCGCCTGGGTGGCTCAGTCGTTAAGCGTCTGCCTTCGGCTCAGGTCAGGATCCCAGAGTCCTGGGATCAAGCCCCGCGTTGGGCTCCCTGCTCAGTGGGGAGCCTGCTTCTCCCTCTCCAACTCCCCCTGCTTGTGTTCCCTCTCTCGCTGGGTCTCTCTCTGTCAAATAAATAAAATCTTAAAAAAAAAAATTCCAGGATTATTATTTGGTGATTTCTAGGGTCCAAGGACTACCAACTGGTTACGTGGTCACGGGATCAGACCTTGAGAATGTGGCGAGTGGATTCCCAGATGCAGAGGGTATGTATTCAGTGCTGTTGTGGAGGAGTGTAACTGGGTACGCTAGAAACTTAAAAAAAAATACAAAGTTTAGTACCTGTGGGAGTTAGAGGATACGTAGAGACATTTACTAATACTTGCTGGTTGGCCGAGTGGCTTGTGTAGGACACACGGAGGCTTTGAGATCTTCAAGAGCCAATTCCCGTGTTGGGTACTTTTAAGCGTGAAAAGCCTCTGACTGCCTTTTCTCATGTCCCAGTATGAGAGTGTGGGTAGCCGACTGAGCAAATGGCCTGTGGGCTTCATTTCTTCTCTTCTTCTAAATGAACTAGGACGTCTAACCTTAGGGTCTGCAGTGTTCAGAACCCTTTACATCCATCAGCAGCACCTGTCCTATGAAGCTCTTTTCAATTTTTGCCCCATAATGATACCTGTTTCTTATGTGAACCACAGTGGTTGGTACCTGGTATGAACTGCTGTGGCCTGTGCTCTGTAGAGGGTAGATAGAAAATGCTGCGTAAAATTTTCAACCCTGCAGGGTGCCTGGATGGCTCAGTTGGTAGAGCATGCAGCTCCTTTTTTTTTTTTTTTTTTTGTGCCAAAACCTGGGAACAAGAGCATGCAACTCTCTCTCTTTTTAAGATTTTTTAAGTTAATTAATTAATTAATTAGAGAGATCGGTGGGGTGGGGAAGAGCAGAGGGCGAAGGAGAGGGACAAGCAAACTCATGGCTGAGTAGCGGGCCCAGTGTGAGCCTCAGTCCCATGATCCTGAGATTCATGAGCCCCACGTTGGGTGTAGAGATAACTTAAAGATCAATCAATCAATCAGTCAGTCTTAAAAAAAATTTTGCAACACTGCTCAGTACGAAGTCACGCTTAGCATTTTGGTTAAGTATCATCACCTTACTGCCTTTCAAATATATTTTTTCCAGAAAGTACCATTTGTTCATTTTTGGTCTTGGGTTAGCTGAGCAACTCCATAAAGGCTTGGAATTTAATGTTTTCTGAGGCTTGCACAAACTATGAACAGGATGAAAAATTTCCAGGGTAGCTAAAAGTCTGTTCTCCTGTGTATTTAATCAGAGAGATTTGGTGGAGGGTAAAACCTATTCTGATTGTATCGGTTTTTGGCCGACATCTTTAGCCTTTGTGATTCCCATTTTTAAGTCAGAACCCTAACCAGACATGATGATCATTTCCACTGACATCTGTAGACCTAGATCTTCTACCCTTTGTTGCAGCTTTGTGCAAACGACATATTAGATGGTGTCGATGAGTTCATTGAGAGCATTTCTCTTCTGCCGGAACCAGAGAAGACCCTTCACACTCAAGATACAGATCACCAGCACAACTTGAGCCACGGGGAGGAAGAAGGTAATCGGTCAAACGGGTGTTTCAGGGGAAGTGCCCCTCTGTGCATCTCAGAGTTACGGCAGATACCCTAGAACGGCTCTCGGACCCATTTTCAAAAGGGTTTTCCAACAACTGAAGAACCTCTCTCTCCTGCTAGTCTTAAAGGAAGACCCCCCGAGCAGTATCCTGGAAGAGAATAAATCGGAGCAGCCAGGGCTGCCTCAGACTCTGCAGCAAGAGTTCTCGCTGATCAACGTGCAGATCCGGAACGTCAACGTGGAGGTGCTCGCTAGTTTACGGCCTCGTTCCCCTGCTTGCGGATGGCAGTCGGTGGGCGAGGGGACTCTTTCAGCTCTGATCTCGGCTCGCAAAGAGCTTTGCTGCACCAACAAGTGAATCTGTCTGCTTGCTTTTTTATTTTCTAGGTTTTCTAGAGAAATAGATGTTTTATAAATGCACATTATAGTCTCACCATAGTATTTTCTCGTAAGATGAATCAAGGAATAAACTGATGCTCGTGTGTCTTGAAATCCTCTTAGCTGCTCCAACACCTCATTTTACCATGTGTGAAGTTACTTAGAGCCAGGGAGGCTTAGTGATTTGGCAGAGGTTACTGGTGTGGTTAGTGGCAGAGCTGAATTTAGAAGCCAAACCTCCTGACCACCGCCCCCCCTCCCCACACACATACCAGGTTCTTTGGACTCTGCTGTACTGTCTCCCTTTAAAGCTGGTCATTTCCTTAATGACTTAGATTCATAGTAAGAAGGTCACCAAACCTCTTTGTTCATTTAACACATGGAAAGGTTTACTCTCTTCCTTTTGGGGAGGTATTGAAATGCTTTCCTTCAGAGAATTGAGTCTGTGAAGGAGTTTTGAAGCTTGATTTCTTTTTTGCCCAGATTCAACTAACAGTAGGTATGGATATGTGCATAATTATCTCCTTTGGCCTTTTTGGGAGGAGGGGGGCAGAGGGACAGAGAGAATCCCAAGCAGGGTCCATGCCCAGCATGTAACCCAACGCAGGGCTCCCATCTCACAACCCGGAGCTCATGACCTGAGCTGAAATCAAGAATCAGATGCTTAAACCAATTGAGCCATCCAGGTGCCCCTCCTTTGGCGTTTGTTTTATTTTTATTTTTTTTAAGATTTTATTTATTTATTTGACAGAGAGCGAGAGAGGGAACACAAGCAGGGGAGCAGGAGAGGGAGAAGCAGGCCTCCCACGGAGCAGGGAGCCCGATGAGGGGCTCGATCCCAGGACCCTGGGACCACGACCTGAGCCGAAGGCAGACGCTTAACGACTGAGCCACCCAGGCGCCCTTCCTTTGGCATTTAAAACAACTCTGCAATACATGCTTTTCTCCCTACTTTACAAGAGGAAACTGACACTAAGAGATGTAATGACTTGTCTGAAGTCAGCGGCTATTTGGTAGAAGAGATACTATTTGAATCTGTCTCCAGATTTCCCACGTGTGTGCCTTTTTTCGCTCTACTCCAGCTGCCTTCTCTGGTTGGCAGCGCGAGAAATCGAGAGAGAAAGGATTCTTTGATTAATTGGTTACCTGTATCAATTCAGATCATAATCCTTTGTTGAGAACAGTTGAGAAAAGTGTGGACAGCCAAGTGATTCTAGTTTCAGAAGGAGATCTTGATTCCTTTTCCAGGAGTGCTTTTTTAGAAGTATTGAGATAAAATTCATTTACCATAAAATTTACCCTTCTAAAGTGTACAATTTGGTGGTTCATAGTATAGTCACGGAGCTGTGCTACCATCACCCCTAATTCCAGAACATGTTCATCATTTCATCATTCCTAAAAAATCCTATTAGCAGTCACGTCCCATTGCCCGAGCCCCCGCCCCTGGCACCCACTAATCCGCTTTCTGTCTCCATGGATTTTCCCAGGAGTGCTTTTTAACTCGAGTCCGGTATTTCAATTTCTTCCTGCTTTATTTTCTCATCTCAAAATAAATATAGCAAGTTTCAGTTCTACCTCACAGCTTCAGGCTGAAGCTTTTTTAAGTCAAAATACTTTGAACTTATTAAATCAGTGCTAAAATTAAAAATCTGTCTTGAACACGAGTTGTCTAAATCTTCCAAATTCATTTGTCTCTGGAGAGTCTCCCTTTGCCCAGGTCCCGGGAGCCTAGAGCTTGCAGTTAGCTTGTTTAAATTCATTTGCGTCCGGGGGCACCTGGGTGGCTCAGTTGGTTAAGCGACTGCCTTCGGCTCAGGTCATGATCCTGGAGTCCCGGGATCGAGTCCCGCATCGGGCTCCCTGCTCAGCAGGGAGTCTGCTTCTCCCTCTGACCCTCCCCCTTCTCATGCTCTATCTCATTCTCTCTCTCAAATAAATAAATAAAATCTTAAAAAAAAACAACACCTTAAAAAAAAAAAAAAGGGCGCCTGGGTGGCTCAGTTGGTTAAGCGACTGCCTTCGGCTCAGGTCATGATCCTGGAGTCCCAGGATCGAGTCCTGCATCGGGCTCCCTGCTTGGCAGGGCGTCTCCTTCTCTCTCTGACCCTCCTCCCTCTCATGCTCTCTGTCTCTCATTCTCTCTCTCTCATATAAATAAATAAAATCTTTAATAAATAATAATTATTTTTTTTATTTAAAATAATATTATTTTAATATTTATTATTTATTTAATAATATTTATTTATAATATTATATAATATATATTATATAATTATATATATTTATAATTATATATATTATTATATATTTATATATATAATATAATAAAATATATATATAATAAAATAAAATATATTATTTATAATAATATAATAATAATAATATAATATAAATAAATATTATTATTTAAAATAATAAATAAATAAATATTAATAAATAAATAAATTCATTTGCGTCTGGAGATGCCCGATGGCTCATCTCGCGAGCAGTTGTCCCTCTGTCGTCTGCAGATGGACGCGGCGGACAGGAGCTGCACAGTATCCGTGCATTGCAGTGGTCACCGTGTCAAGATGCTGGTGAAGTTCCCTGCGCAGTACCCCAACAACGCTGCCCCTTCCTTCCAGTTTGTCAACCCCACAACCATCACATCCACGATGAAAGCGAAGCTGCTAAAGGTAGGGGTCTGTGTCCACACATTCCCCTTAGTGTTGTAAGAGGAGACGTGTGTTCACAGGCATCAGCAGCTAAGTTGAGTGGTAAAGTTGAATGAAAACTCCAGTAGATAAGATTTGAAAGTCTTTTGTATGTGCTTCGGTGATAACTTCATTGTGTATAGAAAATATCAGAGCAGTGGTTCTTAACCTTTTTGGATCATGGACCCCCTTTGAACAACCAACGAAAACAATGGACCCTTCCCCAGAGAAATTTGCACAAATGTTGTATATAATTTAGAAATATAGTTGTAGTTCTATAATTGTATATAATCTGCTTATAGATGTCATTAAAGCTATGCATTAATCCCTGGTTAAGAACCCTGCAGTACATTTTCATTTATCTGGAAACAGTAGGCAAGGTGTATTCTTTTTTTTTTTAAAGATTTTATTTATTTATTTGACAGAGACAGAGATAGCAAGAGCAGGAACACAAGCAGGGGGAATGGGTAAGGGAGAAGCAGGCTTCCTGCTGAGCAGGGAGCCCAAAGTGGGACTTGATCCCAGGACGCTGGGATCATGACCTGAGCCGAAGGCAGACGCTTAACGACTGAGCGACCCAGGCGCCCCATTCTTTTTTTTTTTTAAAGATTTTATTTATTTGAGAGAGAGAATGAGAGAGAGAGCACATGAGAGGGGGGAGGGTCAGAGGGAGAAGCAGACTCCCTGCCGAGCAGGGAGCCCGATGTGGGACTCGATCCCGGGACTCCAGGATCATGACCTGAGCCGAAGGCAGTCGCTTAACCAACTGAGCCACCCAGGCGCCCGGCAAGATGTATTCTGAAGCTAAAAGATACTTTATCATCGGAAAACAAGGGGCGCCTGAGTGGCTCAGTTAAGCATCCGACTCTTGATCTCAGCTCAGGTCTTGATCTCAGGGTTGTGAGTTCAAGCCCTGCATTGGGCCCCATGCTGGGCATGGAGCCTACTTAAAAACAAAAACAAAATGTAAGGCAATAAAAAAAAAAAATCCATTCCAAGAAAAGAGGTGGTGTCATCCTCAGGTGAGGCTGGCTGGCTGCCCAGGTGAGGTATCTGAAGGGATGGTGGTGCCTGAATGGAGGTGGGATAGCCTGGCATCTAGTCTTTGCTCCTGCAGCCTCAGAAACTTGCTTTGGCAGTTCTAATCAGAGCTAATCAGGCAGAATCTCCATTAAAGAAGCCCCACGAGCTGGGTATGATACACCTTTTTCAGTTTGAGCAGCGTCATGAGTGAAGTAACTGAAATGTCCTGACAAACCAAGATGACCCAAATACTACACACCCTTTGCCTAGTTTGTATCATATACACTTGACCCATCTTCCTGGGGGAAGATACGTAACCAAGAAAATTTTCAAGTGGTGTAAGGATCTCTCAAATGCTACTCTGATTTTGTAGTATAAGTGCATTTTGTGCTTGGAAATTTTTATTTTTCATCCAAGTATAATATGTAGTGTTAAATTAGTTTCAGGTGTACAATATAGTGATTCAGCAATTCTATACATTACTCAGTGCTCATCACGACAAGCGCACTCCTTAATCCCCATCACCTGTTTCACCCATCCTCCCACCCACCTGCCCTCTGGTAACCATCTGTTCTCTATAGTTGGGAGTCTGTTTTTTTGTTTGTCTGTACTTGGAATTTGAATATTTCATTGTCTTATTTGCACATGCAGAAAAGATAGATGTTCCTATTGTTATTAAAATGATAGGATTAAAAGTGATAGGATTAGGAAGTATATTTATTTATTTATTTATTTTTTAAAGAGAGAGGTTTTTTTTTTTTTTTTTAGATTTTATTTATTTATTCATGAGAGACAGAGAGAGAGAGAGGCAGAGGGAGAAGCAGGCTCCCAAGGAGCAGGGAGCCTGATGCGGGACTTGATCCCAGGACCCTGGGACCATGACCTGAGCCGAAGGCAGACGCTTAACCATCTGAGCCACCCAGGCGCCCAGGAAGTATCTTTAAAGGTCTAATTCGGTGCTGCCTGATAAAAATATAATGCAGGCTACACGTAATTTAAAATTTTCTAGTAGCCACACTAAAAAAAAAAAATTGAAAGTAGCAGGTAAATTAATTTCAGTAATATTTTTACGTACCCCAGTATATGCAAAGCATTCTCATCTCAGCATGTAGTCCATATAAAAATTATTGCAAGAGTTTGCATTCTCTTTTTTGTACTAAGTCTTCAACACTCAGTATGAATTTTACACTTACAGCACATTTCAATTCAGCACGCCTAACAACTGAGGCTGGCCCTTTCCTTTTTTTATTTTTTTTTTTAAGATTTTATTTATTTGAGAGAGAGAGAACAAACGGGGGTGGGGCAGAGGGAGAGGAAGAAGCAGACTCCCTGTTGAGCAGGTAGCCTGAAGCTGGGCTTAGTCCCAGGACCCCCGAGATCATGACTCCAGCCGAAGGCAGACGCTTAACCCACTGAGCCACCCAGGCGCCCCAGCACATCTCTATTCAGACTACCTCATTTTACATGCTGTGTAGCCGCATGTGGGTAATGACTTCCATGTTGGACACGCAGGCCCAGTTACACACCTGTCTTCAGTATGTGTATGTCAGTTTATGTCTATAGCATGTGCCTTAAAATGTTAGGATTTATATTTTTAAAGAAGCAAAAAAAAAAAAAAAAGATACATTGTAATTTCCACCGAAGTGACATCTGTTCCCCCTGGCCTGTATTGGGTATTACTTCTAGGATACTGAAATTTTCATGAGGGGTTTGGGGTTCAGCTAGAAGGCGAGGAAAGGAGTAGAATTCACCAGAAAGAAGTGTGTTCTCTTAAGCTTTGTGTGCCTGCCCTGGCTAAGGAGAGGGCTTCTCGAATATGCTCTGTGAGCCTCTAGAGTCAGGTGGAAAGTAGGATGCCGAAGCCTCAGACACAGCTCCGGCCTCCCTGCATCTTCACGACTTCCCACTGCTTTGAAGAAGAAAAGTGAATCAGGAGAAGGAATGTTGCTATTCTTGACTGTGTTTCGTGCCTTTTCTAGATCCTGAAAGACACTTCCCTGCAAAAAGTGAAACGAAACCAGAGTTGTTTGGAGCCCTGCCTGCGCCAGCTCGTCTCCTGCCTTGAGTCTTTCGTGGTGGGATTCTTGTACCAACCTACGCTTTGATGTTTTGTTTCGTTTCTTCCTCCCCAAACTAATGTGTCCTTATTTTGTAAGTCAGCTTTAAGACAGCTTGTGGTTTTTCGTCTGTTAACTTTTAAATTTCAGAACCAAGAAGACAGCACTTCCAGCAACCCCTTTGCACTCCCGAACTCTGTCACTCCGCCCTTACCAACGTTTGCCCGAGTGACCACTGCCTATGGGTCATACCAGGATGCCAATATTCCCTTCCCTAGAACCTCGGGGGCCAGGTTCTGCGGAGCAGGTTGGTCTCTTTTTTGGTTCTCTGATTCTAGATTTTGAGAGCAAGAAGCCCAGAATGTCCTGTAGTCTGTAAAGAAATCTCAGAAAAATCAGGAAATTTTCATTTGTTTTTGTTTCCTGGGAACTCAAAAGACTGCTGTAGTGTTAAGTGGTCTGATGCTGAATTGGCTTCTGTGGACATATCCTGGGAATGTTCAACAAAATTACAGTTTTAATTCTTTTCATTCTGGTGAGCATGAATTTGAGTCTAATTCAGATCCCTGATTCTCAACACAGGACGGGTCCCCTAGCAAAGAAATATAAAGTACCTGAAAAGATTTTTTCCACACCACACACATCCCATCTCTCCTGGATCCTAGAGATTCTGACCTTTGTCCTTGTTACATATGGCCACAGCCAGGACTGACCAGGGCTTCCATAGGATTTTCCACGTGTAGCTCATTGACGCTGATGTGCACATGTGTGTCTCCTTTGTCAGGGTATCTGGTGTATTTCACAAGGCCGATGACGATGCATCGAGCAGTGTCTCCGACAGAACCTACTCCAAGGTGAGCCTGGGAGATGCAGATGTTAGCTGCATTCATGGGGCCATAAGTGGGCAGACATCTGGGAATGAGCACTGAGTTTGTCTTTGGACAAGTGGTTTTAGGTCTTCAGTAAATACCCACTCTAAGATTTTTTTTTTTTAAGGTTTTATTTATTTGACAGAGAGAGAGATAGCAAGAGCAGGAACACAAGCAGGGGGAGTGGGAGAGGGAGAAGCAGGCTTCCTTCTGAGCAGGGAGCCCAACGTTGGGCTCGATCCCAGGACCCTGGGATCATGACCTGAGCCGAAGGCAGACGCTTAACAACTCAGCCACCCAGGCGCCCCCCACTCTTAAGATTTATTCATGAAAGATTAGGTTCACGAAATTGCCACTAAGCTGAGATTTGGGAGATCTGGTTACTACCAAACCACCAGAAGAAGTACTTTGATAAAAGCTGTTGTCAAAACAAGGCAAATTCTTTTTTAGTGTGCTTTTCCCCTATTGCTAAAGTATTATTTGAACATTAAATAAAAATAAAAAAGTAATGGGGCGCCTGGGTGGCTCAGTCATTAAGCGTTTGCCTTCGGCTCAGGTCATGATCCCAGGGTCCTGGGATAGAGCCCCGCATCGGGCTCCCTGCTCGGCGGGAAGCCTGCTTCTCCCTCTCCCACTCCCCCTGCTTGTGTTCCCTCTCTCGCTGTGTCTCTCTCTGTTAAATAAATAAATAAAATCTTAAAAAAATAAAATAAAAATAAAATAAAAAAGTAACAAGATCATCTGCAGGTCCACAACACTAATACACCACTTCTAACATTACCGAAACATGTTAAATTTTTAAAAACGACAAGTGGTTGGAAAAACTCACAATATGGAAGTTTTAAATTAAAATTTGAAAGCTTTCCTTTTCCTTGGCGAGTCACTGTTAGCAATTTAATACGCTTTCTGTCTGGTCTCCATTATTTTTCTGTGTGTGGGTTTTTTGGTTTATTTGTTTTGTTCTGTTTTTAAGAGGCAATCTAAAGTAACAAATGGGAATGTGGACTTTGGAGCCAAGCCATGGGGTCCCCATCTTGGCCCTGCTGTTCTGTGACCTTAGGCAAGTTACTAAACTGTGCTTGAGTTTCCTCAGCAATAACTTGGGGATGATAGCGGCACCTACCTCCTTCAGTTGCCGGGAAGATTAAATGTGTTAATCCCTAAGAAGCATTTAGAACCATGCCCGGCACATTGCTCTGTGTTTCCTATTATTACTCCTGGTTGTATTTTTTGTTCTTGTTTTTGTTTTTTATGTTTTTACTGCTTTATTATTTTTTTAATTTATTTTTTATTTTTTATTTTTTTGAAGACTTTATTTATTTATTTGACAGAGACACAGCGAGCGAGGGAACACAAGCAGGTGGAGTGGGAGAGGGAGAGGCAGGCTTCCCGCGGAGCAGGGAGCCCGATGAGGGGCTCCATCCCACGACCCATGAGATCATGACCTGAGCCAAAACTAAGTAGGACGGACGTTCAGCTGACTGAGCCACCCAGGCACCCCTTAACTGTGCATGTATCTTTTTTTTTTTAAAGATTTTATTTATTTATTTGACAGAGATATAGGGAGAGAGGGAACACAAGCAGAGGAGTGGGAGAGGGAGAAGTAGGCTTCCCGTGGAGCAGGGAGCCCGATGCGGGGCTCGATCCCAGGGCCCTGGGATCATGACCTGAGCCGAAGGCAGACGCTTAACGACTGAGCCACCCAGGCGCCCCTGTTTTTACTGTTTTATTGAGATATAAGTCACATAGTATATAGTTGACCCATTTAAAAGAATTCAATGGCTTGTTGTATATTCACAGATACAGACAGAAAGTAGATAGTGTTTACCCAGCCCTGGAGGAATGGGGGACTTGGGAGTGTTGACAGCTGGGGGATGCAGTTTCTTTGGGGGGGGTCATTAAAAATGTTCTAGAATTGACGATAGTGATGACTGCACATAAATTCGCCTATTCTGGGCATTTTATATAAATAGAATCATATAGTTATGTGGTCCTTTGTGATTGGCTTCTTTCGCTTAGTGTAATGTTTTCAATGCTCATACACGTAGCATGTGTCAGAACTTCCTTTCTTTTAATTGCCAGATAATATTCTATCATATGTATATGCCACATTTTCTTTATTTATTCATCAGTCAGTAGATGTTTGGGTTATTTCCACTTTTTGGCTATTATGAATGATGCTGCTATGAGCATTTGTAAGTTTTTGTGAGGGCCTAGATTTTCATTTTTCTCAGGTATATACATGTAGGAGAGGAATTGCTGGGTCATATAGTAAAGGTTTTTTTCTTCATTAATCAACTTTATGTTTTACAACAGTTTTAAGTGTATAGCAAAATTGAGTGGGAAGTCCAGAGAATTCTAGCATACATCCCTGAGCCCACACATGCACAACCTCCCCCATACCACTGGTTTTTTAAGCTTAAATGTTATCAGTTATATAGGATAGACTTCTGGTTCTGCTATGGGGCAACCAGGATAACACAGAAGCCCTCCCGCTGCAAACACCTGGGTGTGCTGGATGTAATATAATCAGCATATTTACAGGAAAGAAAGGAGATCGAAGCTACTGCTGTCCTGAGAGTCTGCCAATCTCTGCAGTAACCTAGGCAGATGAGACCTTGGCCAACAGGACTGGGGAGTTAAGTGTCAGAGACCCCATATGCTACTTTGGGTTCTTTATTTGAAAGATTGTACTAAAAAACAATCACCTACTCTCAAAGGGAAACAAGAATATGTGTATCTGGGCTTTGGATCAGAACAGCATTCTATTGAGGTATAATTTACAGTACACAAATATGAAGTGTATACCTTGATGACCAGCACCCAGACCAAGATACAGAGCAAAGGTTCCCTGTCCTTTCACCCAGAGGAAACCAGTCTTGTGACTTCCATCATTGTAGTTTTAGTTTTGCCTGTGCTTGAGCTTCATCTAAATAGAACATCATGCAGCATGTGCTATTTTATGTCTTACTTATTTTGTTCAACTTTATGTTTTGGTTTTTGGATTTTATTTGAGAAAGAGAGAATGAGTGGGGGGCAGGGCAGATGGAGAGGGAGAGGGAGAAGCAGGCTTCCCGCAGAACAAGGAGCCTGGCATGGGGCTGGATCCCAGGACCCTGAGATCATGATCTGAGCCAAAGGCAGATGCTTAACCGACTGAGCCATCCAGGCGCCCCCAACTTAATGTTTTTGAAATGGATCCATATAGTTGTATATGTCAGTGGTTCCACTATATGAAATAATACAGTTTGTTTATCATTCTCCTCTTCAGGCATATTTGGGCAGTTTGGGGCTATTATGAGTAGATCTACACATTCAGGTCTTTTTTTTTTTTTCATGCATATTAATTTCTCTACCCAAGGACTAGAATCCTTGGCTCCTAGGATAGGTGTATGTGTGATTTTTGTTTTTAGTATTGCCAAAAAGTCTGTCCCCAGTGGTTGTGCCATCTTATCAGCAATGTTTCAGAGTTCTGGTTGCTCCACATTCTCTCCAAAATTTGGTGTTTTCAGTCTTTTCAACTTTAGCCATTGTGGTGGGTATGTGGTATCTCATCCTGGTGATGACTAGTGAGTTGGGCAGCTTTTGTGTGCTCATTGACCATTTGGGTATCTTCTTTTGTGATATGCCTGTTCAAGTATTTTGCCCATTTCTTTAGGACTGTGTTCCTTATTATTTATTTGTGGTTGTTTTTTGTTCTGGCTGTAAATCCTTTGCTTGAAGTATGTATCGATTTTCTCTTAACCTGTTGCTTGTCTTTCTCCTTCCCTAATGATTTTTGATAAACAGAAGTTTTTAATTTTGATAAAGTCCAACCTGTCACTCTAAAAATTTAATGGTTAGTGTCTTTGTGTTCTAGGAAAAAAATCTTAGCCTACCTAAGGTCACAAAAATATTCTTCCGTTTTCTTTTAAAAATTTATAGTTTTAGATTCCTTATTTAAGGCCTGTAGTCAATCTCAAATTAATTTTTGTGTATGATGTGAGATAGGGGCCAAAGTTCACTTTTTTCAGTAGAGATACATAATTGTTCCAGCACCATTTTTGGAAAAAATTTGACTTTTCTCATTGAATCTGCATTGATTTAAAAAAATTGCATTGGACGCCGGTGGCTCAGTCTGTTAAGCATCTGCCTTCGGCTCAGGTCATGATCCCGGGGTCCTCGGCTCAAGCCCTGCGTTGGGCTCCCTGCTTAGTGGGGAGTCTGCTTCTCCCTCTCCCTCTGTCCCTCCCCTCACTTACGCTCTCTTTCTCTCAAGTAAATAAAATCTTTAAAAAAAATTGCATTGATACATTGTTGAAAATCAATTGACCCTATGTTTGTGGGTCTATTTCTGGAGTCTGGTTTTTTTTGTTTTGTTTTTTTTCCCTTTCATCTATTGGTTTCTCTGTATGCCAACACTATACTCTTTTTTTTTTTTTTTTTAAAGATTTTATTTATTTATTTGAGACAGAATGAGAGAGAGAGAGAGCACATGAGAGGGGGGAGGGTCAGAGGGAGAAGCAGACTCCCTGCAGAGCAGGGAGCCCGATGCGGGACTCGATCCAGGGACTCCAGGATCATGACCTGAGCCGAAAGCAGTCGCTTAACCAACTGAGCCACCCAGGCGCCCTGCCAACACTATACTCTTAATGTAGCTTTTATACAGTAGGTCTTCAAATCTGCTAGGGTGTGTCCTCCAACTTTATTATTCTTCAGGATTATGTTGGCTACTCTAGGTCTTTTGCATTCTTGTAAAAATATGAAATGGCCTATTGGTTTCTACAAAGAAAAAAAAGCCTATTCATATTTTGATTGGAAATGTGTTGACTCTGTAGATCAGTTTGGAGAAAATAGACACCTTGACAATAATCTTCCAATGGAATCTTCCAATACACTAACATGGTATATATCTATTGTTTTGAGTCTTCTTTAATTTCTCAGCAATATTTTGTATTTTCAATGCACATTTTAAAATTAAATTTGTTTCTAGGTATTTGATGCTATTGTAAATGAAATTTTTTAAATGTTTATTTCCAAATGTTTGTTTCTAATATATAGAAATAAGTAGATTTTTATAGATTGGCCTCCTATTTAAATTCACTTATTAGCTCTACTAGTTTGCAGATTCCTTTGAGTTTTCTATGTATACAGTCAGAAGTATTCTCTGCTTTTGCAGACAAAGCGTTTTTCTGTTTCATAAGTTCATTTTGTTCTTTTTTTGTTTCCTTTTTTTCCCATTTTACCTATCTTTTTTTTCTCTTGGTTTCATCACGTGCTTAAGAGTAACACTACTTGGAAATATGGAAGGACTCTAGCCAGTATGGATAATTCTGCGTTTTCAACCACAGGTCTCTGTCAGCTTTGTCTGCTTATCATACTGGCTTGATTGCTCCCATGAAGATCCGCACGGAGGCCCCTGGGAACCTTCGTTTGTACAGCGGGAGCCCCACTCGCAGTGAGAAGGAGCAAGTCTCCATCAGCTCCTTCTACTATAAGGAGCGGGTAAGCAGCAGAGCCATGGCCTTCGATTCTTATTCCTTCTGGGTTCTTGTCCTTTGTCTCCCTGCCTGCTGTGCAAAGCAGCCAGGTTAGTAATCCCCCTGTAGTCTTTAGCTTTCAAAATTAGTTTGTTCAAGAAGGACCTTTGCTTTGTTCCTTCCAGTTGGTTTTAACTACTGTGAATTGTGTGTGTGGAGGGATGGGGTGGTTCTTATAATCCATATTCGTCACTCTCCATTTAACCCGATCCTTGTTACCTCCACTTGTTAAGGTAATTCCCACTGTTTCAGGTAGGATAATTTAGCTGCAGATCTTCCTTGGTGTTCTGATGTTTGTCAACAAATTAAGGGATGCTTCTGAAGGCTTGGGATCTCAATATATTTAGAACGTCATAGCGGTGAGAAGTTTTCAAGTTGACCTCTGAGGGGTCTTATGCTTTTACTAAGTCTACACCGAAGTGCCCATCTGAATGGGAAAGTTTATGTGAAAATCACCTGAGCCTGTCCTTGTGTTCCTGGGTTCTCCAGGAACTCCTCGTCCCTAACGTAGCTATATTAAGCTGTCAGAAGCCTTTGGTGACGACACTGTAGAGAATGTTGGCAGAGCGTAGGAGTGCTTCTAAGAACTCTTTCTGTGTTGTCAGATTGAGAGGCTGGTTTAAACTGCCTTTTAACTGACATGATGTTTTAAACACAGCTACCACCAAGCTATTAACCAGCTCAGTCCTTAAGAATTCTTTGTTGCTGTCCCGAACTAATTGAGAAATGATGGATTGACTATCACTGAAATGTGTTTTTTAAAAAATTGAATTATTTTAAATAAAAACCCAGTTTCCAGCAGGTGTTAGAGGTGTCTGCACTTCGATTGCAGTGTGGTGTCTAGCCTTGGTTCACGCTGGTGGTTGGACACCTCTGCCTTTGTCTAGTCTTAGGGTTGGTGTGTGACTGAAATGAGCAGCAGGGACTGACGCTTGAGACAGGACCAGCCTTGGACAAGACCACTCTGCTGGATGGGGACAGTGATTGTTGCCTTTCTGTAGTCCTCTTCTTCACCTCTCTGACAGAACTGTGCCCCTCTGGCCCCTGTTATCTTCCCAAGTCCTTTACATTCAAAATTTTTAGGTTTTCTTCCCCTCTAAGCAAGCTAGTAGGCATTTTATTGACGTAACAGTCAAACAAACTCATGGTTGGGTAGATGGGGGAATTTTCTTTAGCATCAGGGCCAGGCTGAGGAGATCTTTTAGTCAAAGAGACAGTTCTGAATCCCCCTCTGAGTCATGTCATGTGTTACTCCTGCTTGGGTTTGGATTGGGAAAATAGGTGGACTAGCATTTTGACTCTGACAGTGCAGAAAATCCGTGCCTAGTCACAGTAACTCCAGTTCCACGATGGGACCTCTCCTAATGCAAAAGCATTTGTAAAGCCTTACTTACGTACATGTTTTTCACAGTCTGGCTTCTTTTACCATAAATGCCATAATCATAAAGAGGGACCAAAGGCACATAGATAATGACCTTTTATCAGACAGGATCTGCTGGGAGGAGGGGAAGGATGTGATACTTCACTTTTGGATGGCTCCCAATATACTGCTTCTCCACAGAAAACAGACTATTATAGTCCCTAAGATGACCTCATATAGTAAGTGATCTTTAAGTTTTATTTCAGAGACTGGCCATATAAAATGGGGGCAGACACTTGTAATTTTATATGAAATGTTTGTATTTCTGTGTAATATACGTACAGAAAAGTTCACAAATCATAAGTATATAATTCAGTCAATTAACAGTCACACAGGCCGAGAAATAGAACATTCTAAGAACCGTAGAAGCTCTTGGGAGGAAAGCACATCTCAGTGGGTGACATATAGTAGTTATTAGGTGAAATCCTATGAAATTACTGATACCTTATTTATTTATTTATTTAAGATTTTATTTATTTATTTGACAGATACCACAGGCAGGGGGAACAGTAGAGGGAGAGGGAGAGGCAGGCTCCCCACCAAGCAGGGAGTCCGATATGGGGCTCGATCCCAGGACCCTGGGATCATGACCTGACCCAAAGGCAGTTGCCTAACTATCTGAGCTACCCAGGTGCCCCGATACTTGACCATTTTTAATCTCAAAATGTTTCATGTGGTTCAACCTCATAAGAGGTTAAACAAGTGAGTCATTTTGTGACGAATCTGAAATAAATTCATCTCTCCTTGAACCTGTTCATGTCCATCCCATTACTTGAGGCACAGGGCAATGAAACAGCCATGACCTTATAGAGGCCATCTTCCTTCCTCTTAGAGGTCGATACAGTTTTATCCCTCAAGGAGTATTTTCTTATCCTTAGGTATCTAGTTTGACATGTCAAATAATACCACTTTTATTACTTTTGTTCTCAAAATGATTCCAGATTGCCACATTTCTCTGTGCTTAAGTCTTTATTTTCAGCCCCAGTTTTTCCCCTACATATTTTTATTCTCTTTCAGATCTCTACCCTTGAGATCGTTAAATGAGTAAGAGTCAAGGAAGAGAATATAACTGCATTAAAGTATAGCAGTGAAGGAATTATAGAGTGTTTTGGAGATTATAAGATGCTTTATGGAACCATTGGGGATTTTACCGTTTGTTTGTCTTGTTTTTATGTATTTTTAACCTGCCCTATTTAGGTCATATTATTATATTCACCCAAATGTTCTCCAGATGGGATTCCAGGGTTCGTTGCTAAATACTTAAAAATGTGAGAGACCTAAAAAAACAACAACAATAAAAACCAACTATCAAATTTTATAGGAAGTTAGAAAGCTGGAGAGATGCTAGCATTCATTTGGTAACTGGACCAACTATTAATAGTTGATGAAATATTGTTTATTCCTAGGACAAATCAGAAGACCCAGAACTTGTGATAAACATTAGGCCTTGGCCTATAAACATTTCTAAAATTTTGCACCCGTGCTTCAGTTTATGTCACTAAAATAGCTCTAATGTAAATAACTGAGGCGGTCTTGAAGTTAATAGAATAATTTCTAATTTCCATAAACAGTGCTTTTCAGCCCCAGTTTCACACTGATGCTCATGTTGTTAGCCAGTGCCCTCAGGAGGGCAGCTCTTCAGCCTTGCTCCCTCTTTCCCTCCATTTCTCATGCACACTTGCTTACTCATCACTCTGAAAATAGCCCTGCAGCCCTGAGGTCAAGGCTTCCACTTTCCCCAATGCCCACCAAACCACACACCAGAAACAGTTGGGTGTCAAGTCTACCAAAGAACTTCTTCCTTTTTAGGAATGAGAATCTTCTCGCACATACATGTGCTCTTGATGGGGAGGGGAGACCCTCCACCCATTTCTTGACTTGCCCTGCAATCCTCCCTAGAGTACACCAACATTGACCTCAGCCTCCTTATATCTTGAGATGTGTTTCGAACTGAAGAACGATGACACTGAAGCTGGGTTGGGAGAGCAATGGGTCGGGAGGGAGGTGAGGGAATCCAAATATTGCTCTGCTGAGGTTTAGATTTTTAGTCGTTCAAACCCGATTTTGCAGTAAATTGTGGTACCTTTTAATCCATCAGATGTGTGGGAAGCTTTCATTTTATTCTATATTTTTCCCTTTTAATTTTCTTGGTGTTTTTCTTCCCTCCTCCTGGGTGTAACGTTTTCACGCACAGATGTCTCCTCGCTCTGCCCGGCGACGTTGGTCCATACAAGCAATTAACGACTTCCCGGTACTGTGCGCTGTGCAAATACTCTCCTTGACTAATCCTGTCTGCCCGAAGGCCCAAGAATAAAATGCCACCTGCCTGGCTTTGAGGAACCTGAGTGACAGGCTGGCTGGTTTTCAGGACCAGCACAATAAATTTTTCACTCTTGGGAGTCAGGCACCGAGGACTTCCTCCTTGTCTCATCCACTTTCAAAGGGGTGAATACGGAGACTGTTAAGGATCGTGAATGGGCTTCTTTAAAAATGAAGCCAAACACTGGGTTTCTTGGAAAGAACCCCAACTGTAAGCCTTTAGCTCACCTGATTTCATTTGGAGTATTTGTATAATTTCCTGGAGCTTTCAAAAGCCTACCTTTGGCATGGGGTGAAGCAGAGGAAGATATAAGAGGCTTCCACCATTTTGTCTCTCTGTTTTTATCGTCTTGGTCTAGTTCAAAGAGGGAAGTGCTCACCTGCTTCATTGGCATGATGCATAAGCTAGTTTTTAATCGTTCAGGAACTTTCTGGAACAATTTTTTCCTTGCCATCAGTGTTTTGCATTGCAATGAAACCTCTGCTGTGGACATCCTCTCTCTTTTCTTTCTCTCTTCCTCGTTCCTGTTGGCCACCCCCCCTCTTCTGTCTTCCTCTCCCACCCCCTTCATGTTTCAGTAGTGCCAAGGTGGCCTCGGGCTGTGCAAGGCAGCCTCGTGGCTTTTTTGTAAATTTTATTCGGTGTAAAAAATTTTTCGGGGAATCGTCCTATAGCCTTTTCATATCGAACCCAGTTGAAATCAGGAGCCCTGATTAGCACATACTGCTGCTGCTGACAACTTGCGGGCAGAGCCGACGTGGCCGCCTTTCCTCAAAAAGCCTGTCCCAGCCAACCCGACTGCTGGATTTCCACTGATTTCCAGAAGTCTCTGCTCCTGCTGCTATTGAACTAGGAACTCATGTTGACTCACCGCCCGCTCTGCTGATTTTGCATTGTTGGTGGGGTTGCTGCGAAGCAGTTGGTGGCTTATTCTTGGGCTGTTTTTACATTTAACCCATTTATTGGCATTGATGTCGCCTCCGATTGTAGCAGTAATACTGGTGGTGCGGTCGCAAGCTGGCTATCTTGGTTGTCATTCAGTGCTCTTCGCACCAGTGCCTCCCCTACCCGCAGTCCTTTCCTCCCTGTCCTCCTTCCTCTGATTCCATGAACGCCTTCTTGGTATGTTCAGAGGAGCATCCCGGTGCTCCTCATGTGATAATTGTCTGTCTCGTTTTGTCTCTCTTCCCTCAATCCCTGCTTATGAAATCTGTGGGGAAGGGGCATTTCCTGTGATGGGGCATTGAGAAGACCCAAGAGAAACGCAGGGCCCTTTGCCTCCCAGAGGGACTGATCCTACTGCACAGAAAGGCACCCACATTGAAGCCCGTCAGAGTGGGACTGGAGCAATGCGGGAGGTTTCGGGGGCTTTTAGGCCAGAGTGCCCTCCCTCATCTGGGACGTTCAGCCACACCTCAGCCTGGTGTGTTGCTATCTGCCTGTTGTCACCTGACAGTTGCACAGATGAGAGATTCCTGAAATCACCAGCAAGCTGTAAGGGAAAAAGAAGTCTTGGGGAAGTGTGGTTGGAATATGAACCCTTTTTGCTGCAGAAAAGTTATCTGTGCTCATTCGGGAGCAGCGAGGACCTAAGGCCCTGACATCTGATTGGAGATTGAGCATGTGCTTATTTAGGTGGCCTTGTTATATTTGCATCCCCAGAATAATTAGTCACTAGACTGGAGTACTGGGAGACCCCTCTAGCCTGAAGGGGAGGTACTTCGTATTTAAAAACCACCAACCACTAAAGAGAAAAAACAAAACTCTTTTATAAAAAGACCCCTTACAGATTTTTGATAATGTTTTGCAGTTATTCCTTGCTGGATTATATGAATGCACAGCGCTGTCCCAGAATTGCTTTTATAGTTTGAGGCTTGGTGGCAGCTGTGGTTAGGGTGACCCCGTGGTGGCGAACCTCCTGTTACAAGCTCAGAGGCAGCTTAGTGAGTTTCTACCACACATCGCCTGTACTTCAGAACGGATCGGCGAAACCACCTGGAAGCCTGCTGTCTCAAGAAGTTGCCCAGCAAGTCCCAGGAAATCCAGACTGTGATTTGCATAATTCAGTGAAGGATGATTACAGAGAGTTGTCCAAGACCACTGTCTTTACATTTTCATTAAGTACCTATTGATGACTCACACGGGTTTGTTTCTCCCCATCTCTGTAACCGAGGACCACAGATGGGCAGAGGGAAGAGCCCTAAGGCATCTCTTTGGACTCCGTTCTCTTCCCTCTGAACGTGCCTACCCCTCCCACACCCAGAAAGGGGATGAAACAGAGTGTGAGGGTCAGGCTCTTGAGCCTGGCTTGAAATACAGCATCTGGGTCTGAGCCCGGTGAGCCCCACATGAAGCCTGTAGCCACGGCCGCCTCTTGTCTCTGCTGGTATTCAGCGTGCTGCTCTGGATGTGCTCGGGATACTTGGCAGAGAAGTGAAATGAGAGCAGTTGTAGAGACGGGTGTCAGGACTCGATACCATCAGATGTTGATCTCCTTATATGCAGAAATGGATCCATTTAAAAATGGACCAAACTGTTTACATAGTAACAGATAGCTTAGTCTTAGGGCTTTTTTTTTTTTTTTCTTTTTAATCCAAAATCATGCACTCGAAAGCAGGTTAATAAGGATGGGCTTAGCAGCCTGACAGCCTGTGTTCAGATCTCAGCTCTTAGGAGTGTGGCCTTAAGTAAGACTCACATTCTCGTTTGTGAAATGGAAGGAGCAGCCCCTCTTTCAGAGAGCCGAGGTAATGCCCACGCTCGCAGAGAGGAAACAGCCCCGAGCGGGAGCTCCTGTTGTTCATAATAACAGACAAATCTGTAAATCCTAAGTCATACATTTATACGCTTGGACTTGTGTCCAGGACATCTTTCATTTCCCACATATAAGACCATCTGTGCCATTTGAAGGTGAGGCTGTGGGAAATAGGACAGTTGCTCATGATCTTCCATGTCCATTACCCAGGTCCTTCTGCTCAAGTATTTTTGGCATTCTAAAATGATCACTTTTCAGAAATAATTCACGTCTGCTAGGAAAAACATTTTTAAATGAACTAGTCTGTATGCAAAGGGACCACTTTGGCACACGGGCCTTAATATTTTGCTTTCATTGAGTTTGCTTAAAAAGATGGACATTGTGGTGGTTTTCAGTGTGGTCTGAAAGCTAATAGACCCCATCCCTCATGAGGCCTCCATTTATTTCCACCTTTTAGTCACATGGAGCTCTAGTGAAGTGCCCAGTTGTTCAAACACTCCTCATTTTCTCTCGTAACAACGAGCCAGAGTGTCTGCCTGGAACAGTGTTTTAGAAGCCTTCCACCCAACACAGAAAACCAATGAGATGGATCATATTCCATTCCAGGTGGAATTTTTTTAGTGTCGGATCTTTTCCTTTTGTTTCTTTCTTACTTTTTAAATCCAGTACCCCAAATTTCACTTGAGATATTCAATTATGTAGGACCTATGGGTGTTGTTTCCTGGAATTTTTAAACTCCTGGAAACCTGGATGAAAAAGTTTATGTACTTAACACCCTCCCTGTTCCAGTTCACCACACTGTGCTGTTCCAGTCACTGCCTGGTAGATGCCCACAGAATTACCCTACCCACAACCAGTCACGTCAAATTATTTCATGCACATGGACAACATCTGTCCTGTGTTGGTTAATACTGCCTGGCTCCAGTCCATTCTGACAGGCTGTTTGCTCTTTAGCCCATTCTCCCCTTAGTTGCATCCTCATCAGGCTATTTGTGGCTAAAAGGCTAGTATTTTTGTGAGTGTGTACGTAACTCTTTAGAAACTGGGCAGCACAAATCGAGAATTGAAGGGCTGCCGGACAATAGTAAGGGCTTCTCTTGTATTGATAGTAATGATGTGTATGAATAAAGAGCACAAAGTAACTCAATTGCTGCTTAAGATCAACTGGGTCAAAGTTCCAAATTGATAATGTAGCACATGTATTTACAAATTATGATAAAAAGTTCAGAGACCTCAGCTAAACTTCATCTGCCACGAACCGAGTCCAGGTGTCCTGGATCTAGTAGGTTCCATAACCCTTACTGAGCCCATAGGAAGTTCCATGCTGTGGGCACCTTTGGGGATTAGATGGGACATCACTGGTCAGAAGCAACTAACTATAGACCATGACTAATGAATGGAAGAGTGTAGAAAAATCACTAGCGGAAAATGAATTATTTGTGAGTAATATAAGTAATGATCTAAATTCCTGAGGGCTTGTAATACATTTATAATCATTACAGATTTGATTTAATTGTATGTTCTCAGTCTGCACTCTTACCTTTTCATTGTGGCCTTATTAGACTTGCAAGATCGGAAAGGAGCTCATCCTGAGGCATAGTTATCAGTGAGCAAAGAGGATGACATGAGATTAAGTTCATAGCAAATAAGGAGCTCACCCAGGGTCATACTGAACCAGCACAGATGTTAATAAGACCAGCACACCTTGGTTTTCTGACTCCAGATTGCAGGCCCCTTCCCTAGCAACTTTGTTAATAAGTATGTCACCTCCCCCCTGAGTTGAATCACTTTGGTGGCCCCCTTTTTAACTTCCAGCAATAAAATAAAATAGAATATTGTTCCCTCGGCTGGTTGTCATTTTGAAGATACCAGATCGGGCTACGCTGATAATTCTCCCTTTCCAGGACATCTCTCATTTCCTACACACAGGCTCCTTTGTAGGGGAGGCTCTGGGGAAATAGGACAGTTGCTCATGATCTTCCGTGTCCATTACCCAGGTCCCTCTGCTCAAGTATTTTTGGCATTCTAAAATGATCACTTTTAGAAGTAATTCAAGTCTGCTAGGAAAAACCAGGTAATTCTCCTTGAGCTGCTAAGTTTCTCGGTCTGCCTGCCACAGATTAAGGTTTGCAGAGCCCACACTGCTGTGTCTGAATTAAATTTTCAACAAATCCTATTAAAGCTGTCTGAGAAGAAAAAAACCTTTGATTAGCTTCAGGCAAGAACTTTGAACCTAAGGCTGATCCCAACCTTAAAAGTTGCTCTTCTCCCACATTTTTGGGGTCTTTACTAACTTATTTACCTGCTGTTCTTTCTTTCTTTTCTTTTCTTTCTTTTTTTTTTTTTTTTTAATTCTAGATTCAAGGTATCTATTTTTGGGCATCTGTACCATGTATGTAGCACTGCAGTAGGTGCATATGTTCCTGTTAGGATTTTGGAACCAAGAGCTCAATGCCCTTTGCCATCCTTTTATTTTCTACAGATGCTGATTCATATAATTGTGGGCATGATGTAATGCAGAGTCTCTGCAAATAACCAATGACCCAACTCTGACGTGCTCTGCGACTGTAGGTTTCCATTCATCAAAGTCCCCATTAGTTATATCTCGTCATCTCCCCCCAGAAATCCAGGAGATGGAAAAGCAAGCGTGAGGGATCGGACTCCGGCAATCGACCGATCAAGGCTGCTGGGAAAGTTATCATCCAGGACACTGCATGCCTTCTTCCTGTTCACAAATCACTGGGAGAACTGTACATGTAAGTCTGCCATGCTCATCACACAGTCATCATAATCCACGTGGTTTTGTGTCTTTTTTTAAAAGTATTTTAAAAATATTAAAGTATTGGAACCCTTTCGGGGAGCCCGGGTGGCTCCGTCGTTAAGCGATTGGCTCTCGATTATGGCTCAGGTCATGATCTCGGCTCAGGTCATGATCTCAAGGTTGTGAGTTCAAAGCCCTGTTTCGGGCTCCATGCTGGGTGTGGAGCCTCCTTGAGATTTTGTCTTCCTCTCCCTGCACCCCCGTCCCCCACCCTCCCATGCACACTCACTCTCTGTGTGTCTCTTTCTCTCTCTCCCTAAAAAAAATAAATAAGTATTGGAATCCTTTATTCAGAAGAAGTTTTAGGAGGAGACCAGTATGTGAGCTTTCTGTTGCTGCATAACAAGGTACCACAAACTTAGCAGCTTAAAATAACATACATTTATTATCTCGGTTTCCATGGGTCAGGGGCCGGGCATGGCTTAGCTGGGTCCTTGCTCAGGGCTCACCAGGCTGAAATCGTAGAGGTGGCCAGGTAGTGGTCTTATCCAATGTTCAGAGTCCTCTTCCAAGCTCATTCAGGTTGTTAGCAGAATTTAATTCCTTGAAGACATAGAACTCGGTGATTTTCATCTTCAAGACCAGCAGGAGTTTCTCTCTGATGCTTCACTTTCTTTCTAAGGTCTCACCTGATTAGGTCAGGCCCACCTAAGATAATCTCCCTTTGACACATTCACAGTGGACTGATTAATAACCTAATCTTGGATGTGATAGCCCATCAGTATTCACTGGTATCACCCATAATTAAAGGGAGGAGATTATAATAGATGTGTGGTGGGAGGGGGCCTCAGAATTCTGCTTTCGATACCTATTTGTAGAACAGTTAAAAGCAGAGCCACTTTGGTTGTAGGGAGTTGGGAGGCTAGTGACAGGCATACAGAGGCTGGCCTTCTTCTTGAACTGGAACACATAACAAAAAGTGTTTATTGTGTAATACATACACAGCACACCGCTCTGTGTTAGAAACCACAGTGTTGCATGCACATATTTGAATTTCTTTTTATTCAACCGTTAAGCCTGGGGAAATCCCCAGAAAAGCTGGTTGCCAAATTGACATTTGGGGTTGGCCTCCTGTCCTGACTTCAGAGAGGTGAACAATTTCACCTTCCCCAGGCACGAACCCCAGCCTGAGCTGCGGGTAAGCTTTTTCTCCATATTATGTAGCAAGAGTAAAGCTTAAGGCCAACATGGATAAAACATTTTGGATGACAACTAAAGAGGCAGTTTTTAGTTTGTCTGTTAAACCAGGGGTCACTGATTTAGGAGGTTAGACTAGAAAGAAACTTCTTATTAATTCTTTTTACATTTCAGATTGAACGTGAATGATATTCAAGAAACATGCCAGAAGAATGCCACTTCTGCCTTGCTTGTTGGAAGGAAGGACCTTGTCCAGGTATCATGCATCCCTCCTGATGGCCATCTGGAGTTTTCTTTTTGAGCCACTTGTTTTCACTTCATAATTTTGGTTTAGTGACCTTTCAAGGCGTGCTTCCTATTTTGCAATTCCTATCCCATTTTCTTTGCCAAACTGCAGGGCTAGAGCAGCTTTCTAAATCCTTTGGGTTCTCTCTCTCTTTTTTAAAAAATATTTATTTATTTAAGTAATCTCTACCCCCAATGTGGGGCTTGAACTCATGACCCCGATATCAAGAGTTGTATGCTCTTCCAACTGAGCCAGCCAGGCACCCCCCCCCCTTTGGGTCTTTTTCTTATTAGAGCTTAGTTGAGAAGATCCTAAAGCATGTAGTGAGAATTTTTTATTACATTTCTACTCTGGTATCATGGTGATTGTTACACACATAAATGTGGGAATCTGTGCCTTTGCCATTTGCACTCTCAATTCTGTTTTGCTGGGGTTTTTATACTTTTAAAAATGCTTTGTTTTGGGGCGCCTGGGTGGCTCAGTCGTTAAGCGTCTGCCTTCAGCTCAGGTCATGATCCCAGGGTCCTGGGATCGAGCCCCGCATCGGGCTCCCTGCTCAGCGGGAAGCCTACTTCTCCCTCTCCCACTCCTTCTGCTTGTGTTCCCTCTCTCGCTGTGTCTCTCTCTGTCAAATAAAGAAATAAAATCTTTAAAAAAAAAAAAAATGCTTTGTTTCAGGGGCCTGGGTGGCGCAGTCAGTTGGGCGTCCGACTCTTGGTTTCAGCTCAGGTTGTGATCCCAGGGTCATGAGATCAAGCCCTGTGTTAGGCTCCAAGTTCAACACGGAGTCTGCTTTGGATTCTCTTCTCCCTCTCCCTCTGCCTCTCCTGCCGGTGCTCTCTCTCTACTTCTCAAATAAATAAATCTTAAAAAAAATTCTTTGTCTCAAGAGCCTAGCTCAGTGAGTAGAGCATGTGACTCTCGATCTCAGGGTTGTGAGTTCAGGTCCCATGTGTGGTGTAGAGTTTACTTAAAATTAAAAAAAAAAAAAAAAATTGCGGGCGAGTTGCCTGGCTGGCTCAGTCAGTAGAACATGCAACTCTTGATCTTGGGGTTGTAAGTTCAAGCCTCATGTTGGGTATAAAGATTATTTAAAAATAAAATCTTTAAGGGGTGCCTGGCTGGCTCAGTTGGTTAAGCATCCAACTTTTGATCGCAGCTCAGGTCTTGATCTCAGGGTCATGATTTTTAAGCCCCACGTTGGGCTCCATGCTACTTAAAAAAAAAAAATATTGTGTGATCCTGGCCAGCACTTCATCTTTCTGAACCTCAATTTCCTCAACTATGAAATAGTCCTGATTCTAGTACCGATGAGAAAGAATAAGGTCATATATGTAAAACTCCCATACCCATATCTGCTAGATGGCAAATATCCAATATATGGGACAGTTGCCACTCTGTTCCTGTAATTATTGTCATCATTTGTGGCATGGTACTTGTAAAGGGACGGAAATGGCATCGGTGCAAATGCTTGAAGAATGTTTTTTTTGTTCTTTTTTATGCATATGTTGATGATGATGTGTCTGTTGTTTTGCAAAGAGTTGCAGAAATAAACCCAAGTGTCAACTATTCCTGTCAAAGCCGTTTAGGAAGTGTATATTAAAAGTGAGGAAGTAACAGGGTGCTTGGTGGCTCAATCATTTAAGCTTTGGACTCTTGGTTTTGGCTCAGGTCATGATCTGAGGGTCGTGAGATTGAGCCCCACACCAGGCTCCACACTCAACAGAGGAGTCTGCTTGAGATTCTCTCCCCTTCTCCTTTTGCCTCTCCCACGTTCTCTCCCTCTCTCTCTCTAAAATGAATAAATATTTTTTTAAAAAGTGAGGAAGGAACATACCTAAATTGTGAGCCAGAATAATAAACATCCTGTCCTATCCCAGAGGAGAGACATAACTTCTCTCATCAACTGTTCAGGTAGGTCCTTGGTTATAGAGATAAAAGTAAACCTCATGTATCTTGTCTTAATCAATACTTGGGTGCCTGAGTATAGTGGTGCCACCTAATTTAATTGATTTTTTTACATATCTGATGTGTTTCTCTACCCATTTTTCAGTATTTTTGTTTATTCTTTTTTTTCTTAGATTATAGACTCCTCGATTAAAGTCTGTATTTTCTTCTTTTCAAGTTTCTCACAGAGTCTAGGATAGTGTTTTCCAGTTAGTGGGCATACAATGATATATTGCTACTAAGAAAGATTTCCCAATAGTATTCCATTTTTAAAAAAAGTGTGGAGGGAAGGAGGCTCTGTTGACGGCATGATATATTTAATATTAGCATGTGCTGAATCTTGGAGTTAATAGACACCTAATGGATATTAGTTTCTGCTTGATGACCCCAAGCCCTGTATGATTTCAAGTTTGGAGATATGCCTCAGACTTGATGTCAACAAAAAGAAAGTCAAGTCTGTTTTGTCCTGGCCTATTTTTCTTTAGCTTTGAGAGTATACTGAAAATTTTGTAATGAAAGCAACAAAGTTTCCCTTTACTTGGGCAAAGGACAGATCTGAAATATGATACGGGATGCTTTTTTTCCCCTCTCCCTGCCTGTTCACTAATGAAGCAACAGAAGAAGTCACTTGAGACAACCCATTGGGGTTAATGCGGGGTGTCATTTCTTTGAAATTTGCTTAATAAAAGTTTTTAAGACTAGTGTTTCTTGAGCATTACAGTCCCCAGAGAATCTTGTTAAAATGCAAATTTTGATTCAATATGTCTGGAAGGGGACCTAATGTTCCCAGTTTTTGTTGTCCTCAGAGCAGCAAGGCTTTAGGCTGTGTGTGGAGGAAGGTGGGGTTCTTTCATGCTTCCTGGTCCTTTCCTCACCAGTCTGACTTCAAGTGTTTCTCTTCGATCTGTTCCAGGTTTGGTCGCTGGCTACAGTCGCTACAGATCTTTGCCTTGGTCCCAAGTCTGACCCGGATTTGGAAACACCCTGGGCTCGACATCCATTTGGGCGACAGCTGCTGGAGTCCCTGTAGGTTTTGAGAGCTAAAAGTGAGGAAAATGAGTGATGTGAATTTTAGGTCTGTAAACACTTGCAGTATTTTCATTGAAGGGATATGAGGAACGGGAAAAAGTGAGATCTTTCCCGTTAGTGCTACGATAATTTCTGTGCAGAACTAACTTCTTTTTTTTTTTTTTTTAAGATTTTATTTATTTATTTGAGAGAGAATGAGAGAGAGCAAGCACATGAGAGGGGGGAGGGTCAGAGGGAGAAGCAGACTCCCTGCCGAGCAGGGAGCCCGATGCGGGACTCGATCCAGGGACTCCAGGATCATGACCTGAGCCGAAGGCAGTCGCCCAACCAACTGAGCCACCCAGGCGCCCCAGAACTAACTTCTTGTAGCAGAAGGAAGTAGACAATATTAGTCATTTACAACAAGGATTCGAGACTCATGTGTCCTTTAGAGATTTATGCTTTAGCCCATGTTACACCAGTCTGAACACAGAAGTTTGAACTCTTGAAATGCTAAATTTCTTGGGTACTGTAGAGTTTTGCTCCCAAGAGCAGATTCTCTAATTCCGTGTTGACTTACATGCTTTCCAAGGGCAATGATGTTTTTACCCTGTTTGGCAGTTTATGGAAACATTGAATTTGTGTTGGATTTATTGCACTTTAATGTGGCAAGCTGGAAATACAATGTGAAAATGGCTTACCACTTGAATCTTCATAATCATGAGGCTCAGAGCCTGACAGAGAGACAGAAAAGCTCTAATTCCTTCAGGTCGAGGATTGCTTGACTTACTTGTTGAGCTGGATGTGGGACCTGTGCTGAAGCTTCAGTCGCCTCATGGTGACGCAGGGATGATAATGGTGGTTCTACCCACATCACATAAGGCTCAAGTATGATGGTATGAAAACACTTTAAGAAATACCATACATGGCTTGGTAGGAAATTATCAGTATCATTCCATCACAAAGACCAAATTGTTCTGATCCCTACCTCACATCCTAGCATAGTGGTCCTAAAAGGAGCAAGAGGATGTGAGTACCTAAAAGCTAAAAATATTCCTTGTTATTCTTATTTAATAGCTCATATTCATAATTCCACCTTCGTGTCTTTTGCCAGTTCTCCATACCATGGTGGTGGTCCAGTGTTCTGAGCACCCTCACGTAGCGTTAGGTTACGAGTGAAGAGTGATCCTTCTTGGAGTTGGGGAGACCAAGAGCACATGCATGGCCTCATTCAGATGTTAGTTTAGTCCACTTAGTTCTTGGAGAAGCCACACTCAAGTCTGAGCCATGCCTGGCTGCCAACTAGAAGCTTTCAGATGGGTTATCCAGCTCATTTGTAATACTTGGATACATTCTTTTCCAAAACAAATTTAGCCATACTCAAAGTACAATCTGCTAGATATGTAGAAAGCCCTGGTTCCTGACAATTTTGTGAAGCAGAATTAAGAAACCTCCCTTCTATCCCTTTGTCAGCAACCCACCACAACTGTGACAGTTATCCTTCTTCTATCTCTTCTCTTGACTTTTTTTCTCTCATTTTCCCCTCCAGGTTGGCTCACTACTGCCGACTCCGGGACGTCCAGACACTGGCCATGCTCTGCAGCGTGTTTGAAGCCCAGTCTCGGCCTCAGGGAATACCAAACCCCTTCGGACCCTTTCCCGGCCGGTCCTCTAACCCTGTGGTGTCCCACAGCCGATATGTAAGCCTGCGGCCTTGTGTGTTGTGTTTGACTTCTCCTGAAGGGAAGCGTGTTCTGACTCTGCTCCTGTTTGTCCTGCAGCCCAGCTTTACTTCCTCGGGCTCCTGCTCAAGCATGTCAGACCCAGGGCTCAACACTGGTGGCTGGAACATAGGTTGGTATGGTGCTGACTTGGCCACGCTGGATTTCTGGTACTCTAAAAACTGTGAATTGTTACTGTGTCAGCTTCAGTTAATAGATGCACTCTATACTTACCTTGCTTCTCATTTCTCTCCAAATTTAATATGATGGGGATGCTGTAGTTAGCAAGGCCTGGACTTGAACAGGCCAGTTTCTGGTATGTCTTTGTGCCTGGCTGGGTTGCTTTTCAACTCGTAACCTTGAGAGACTGACAGTGGGACTTCAGTGTTTACCCGGTAAACCCAACCCTCATTCTTTCTCCCTCACATGCCCCCCGCCCCACCCCAGTCATCTGCTACTTCTTGTTAGCTGTTGCTTCCCACATACTTCTTTTCAATGTGGAGAAATAAAGATCAGCCTAATTCCAGCTGGCCATAAAGGTCTATTTAACGAATAAGTGTACTTGTGGTTTCCGGATTTTTGAAATTTCTTTTTAAAAATCATCTTAATTTTCTTTTTTTTTCTTAGAATTTATTCTTATTTTATATAGAACTTGAGTGAGCTTGGTGATTTAGTTTTCCAGTCTATAGAATAGAAGCTACACATGTAGAGACTTTGAGGTAGGAGGTGATGCCTGTTAGAGGGGCAGGCAAAGAAGTCGTAGTTACAGTAGTTTGATAGGAAGAGTTACAAAGTATTAAGAAAAAAAAGAAGATCCAAACAAAAAACAGAAGTTTGTGGCCAGTAAGTACAGTGTCAAATAATTTTCTGAGAGAATATCACTGTCTGGCCAACAATGATTCTGTGTCATGCAGAAAAACATTTTAACAGTACCATTTGCACAAGAAGTCAGGAAAATTCATTTTATTATATTCAAAATAATTTTAAAGCTATGAAAGTTTAAAATGTTTTGAAATTTTAAAATGTTTCAACAAAATGAAGTTTCTCTTTCCTGGAAAACCCATTTAGGGGAATGGGGTGGGAAAGACAGAAATCTTGTTCCTTTAATTTAAAGGTTATAAGAGTAATTACATGGGGGCACCTGGGTGGCCCCCGTTGGTTAAGTGTCCAACTCTTCATTTTAGCTCAGGTCGTGATCTCAGGGTTGTGAGATTGAGCCCTGCATCGGGTTCCACACTTAGCAGGGAGTCTGTTAGCGATTCTCTCCCTCTCTCTGCCTCTCTGCCCTGTACGTGTGTGTGTGTGTACATGTATATTCTCTCTCTCTCTCTCAAATAAATAAATCTTAAAAAAAAGTAATACATGCCCAGTATTACAAAAAGCATTATAGAAGAAAATAATCATCACTGAACCTCCATCTAGAAGTAATGTCTATTAACATTCCAAAACATTTTCCCCAATCTGTGTGTGTGTGTATGTGTGTGTGTGTGTGTGTGAAGGGTCATTCTATATATATGATTTTGTGTTCTGTTTTTAATTTTATCGTGAACATTTTCTCACATCATTTAAAAAGTCTTTATCAATACTGACTGCTTTATCTAATATTTTATATCACTGTACCATAATTTGCTGCTTAATCATTATGTGTGTACTTAGTTATCAGGTTACCTTAACAGTAAATATCTAAATAAAAAGGTAAGGCTAGGAAAGAGTTCTGCTTAGTTATATTTCTTAGCATCTTCAGCTTAGCTTATTTTTCTTCCAGTGACTAAATTGAGCACACTCTGCATTATGAGAGTTTTCAGACACTTTCCAAGCCTTCTCTAATTTCCCTCTTCCCTTCCCATTTGATTTGCTTCAGCGGGAAGAGAGGCAGAACATGTCTCCTCACCTTGGGGAGAGTCTTCTCCAGAAGAAATCCGCTTTGGGAGTCTTACCTACAGTGATCCCCGTGAGCGAGAACGTGATCAGCATGATAAAAATAAAAGGTAACAACCTTCCCCGGTGAGAGCTGCAATTTTCATAACGCTTAGATTCCCCAAAGTCAAGACTCTTGCTGTAAGAAAGCTATGTTAAGTTCATTTGGTATTGAGCTTGGTTTTTTTAAAGGAACTGACAGGAAATCTTTTGAGTTTTATCCAGGCTTCTGGACCCCGCCAATACCCAGCAATTTGATGACTTTAAGAAATGCTATGGAGAAATCCTCTATCGCTGGGGTCTGAGAGAGAAACGAGCTGAGGTGCTGAAGTTTGTCTCCTGTCCTCCTGATCCTCACAAAGGGATTGGTGAATACGAATTTCTTTCTTTTCCTGTCACTATCTGAAAGGTCCTATCATTTATTTTGTCCCTGAATGTAAGACTTGGAGTGAAGTCTTTTAGCTTCTCACTTAGAGGCAGAAATTTCTGAAGCATTTTGAGTCTGTTCTCACCTTCCAAAAATCCTTGTATTTCATGACAAGAGTACATTTCTCTTCTAAGTGGAAGTCGTTTTATATACGGTACTCAGATACTGATTTGAAGGAGGGGTACTCATTCATATATTCAGCTAAGATGTACCGAGCTCCTGTGAGGTAGAGTACTCGCACATTCCTTCCCCTCATGGAACTCACAGACTAGTGGGGGAGGAAAATTAAATAACCGTAGGTTGTGATCAACGATGTTGGCGCAGGGAGAGCAGGAAGGGAGCATTCCAGGTGATGTCTGGCCGTGTACGGGGAAGGCCTTTCTGAGGGGCTGAGGTGGAGGGATGAGAAGCCATCTACAGAGAGCAGCACCCATTAAACTAGTGAAGGAAGGCTAGTGGGTAGAACACAGTGAGCAAAAAGGGTACCAGATTAGATTGTAGGGTAATTAGGAACTTGCCAGTTATGGTTCAGAATTGGGATTGTATTCTGAGTCCAGTGGTAAGCTTCAAAGGGTATTAAGAGGTAAGTGACATGCTCTGGTTTCTATTTTAAGAGAATCACTGGCTGTTATATGAAAGAAGGTTTGGAGGAGGGTGAGGTAGAAGTTTGAAGACTGTTAGGGTAGTCAGAGGGAGATCGACGGCCTAGTCTCAGGTGATGTCAGTGGAGGTAGAGAGAGGGGGTAGATTCAAACTACTTTTTAGAGGTAGACTCCACATATAATGATAATAAATTGGATGTGGGATTGAGGGGAAGGGACAAAGCTTAGATGATTCCTGGGTTTCTAGCTTGGGCACCTGGGTAGGTGGTGGCACCATATTCTAAGATAGAAGAGGCTGAAAGAATATTAAGAGGTCTGTTTGGGATAGCTGGAGATGTGTATGAGCTGCCAGACTGTAAAGTCATGTAGGCGGCCAAATGGAATCTGGAGCTCAAAGGGTGGCCTGGGGCGAGAACTAGCAATTTTGAGAATCTTTATCATGTAGGTGGTGCTGGAGCTGTGAGAATGGGTACATTGACCTGGGACCTGGGGTGGGAAGGAAGAGTACAGGGAGAGCAAGAGCTCACCCATTCCGGGTCTTGAGAGAAGCTTGTATCTGCAGACTCAGAAGGAGACACCAGTGAGTTCTGAGGAAAAGCGAGAGTGTGATCTGAAAGGAGCTAAGAGAAGAGTTTTAAAGGGTGACGTGGAAGACCGCCAGAGAGGGTAGTCTGAACACACATTGATTTCCTCTCTCACCCAGAGCCCCCCCTCCCCAAAGCGTCTATCCAGAGCTTTCCTGAAAAGGCATAATCGTGCAAAGAGAATCATGTTGTTGATAGCATTTGGGACCAGGGAGGCAGATAGCTTAGTAGTAGCTGATTTTACGGGGCCTAAACTGACAGGCAGAAAAACAGTACCACACCAGTACCACATGTGACAGAACCCCCACCCTGCTCCAGGCCCCACCCCTCCCCTGGCCGCCCCTGATGGCTCAGGATTCAGTGATGCTTGGCACCTCTGGAAGTGGCACAAAGGTGAGACTAAACACAGGAGTATTGTTTGATGGCTTTTTTAGGGTCCCCAGGTCCCTGCTCCTAGTTTGCAGAGCAGGTTATGAGCCTGCCTATATCACAACAGAAAATCTGGAATTTTCGTTCTCCAGAGAAGGCAAACAGCTTTCTAGCTTGAAAGGGCCCATGAAGCACCTAGTGTAGTGAGTGAAGAAAGACCTGGGATAGAGAGAGTACCCTGGGAGCTTCCAGAGAGAGAGAGAACAGGTCTCATACAGAGGATAAGGAATATGGGCAGCACCACGCTTCTCAGGAACGGTGAACCAGATACTGGGAAGGAGAGGACAATGCAGCAGTGCCTTTGGAAGTCTCCAGAAGATGATTTCTAACCTAGAATCCTGCCCCAAATGATCAGTCACGTGTAAAAGTAAACCTTCAGCCTATCCAGGAAGGCAGGGAGTCGGGATGATGGTAAAGGGAGATCCACATGGCAGACTGAGAGACAGACCCATCCAGGTTGGAGCTTTAAGAGTGCTGTCTCCAGGAGAGAAAGTTAGAAAAATAGCTAGTGGATTTCAGTGTCCAGTGTATTTATAGAGATTCAGGTATTTGAGAGAGGGTTTGCAAGTGAATTATGATAAAGTAAGCAAACAAAAACAAGACGGTTACTAAGAAAATCTAAGCGTGCAAGAAGGAAAAGTGGTCATGGTACATGGCTTGGCTTGAATAATGTTCACCTGGATAGATGATGTGAAAACAGAACGCTGATCTAACCAAGTTAATAGTGGAACGGTGTGGGGGAGATGAGGGATGGGGTATGTGTGTGGCTAGGGGGATTGGGGAGTGAAAGAAGCTTCCAAAGAAAGTTGAGATAATGCTTAAATGGGGAAATTAAGAATTAGCTTTGTACAGGGGTGTTTGGAGATAGAAGGTAGAAACAAAAGGTTAAGTGAGTTGGAAGGATTTCCTCCTGGGAGTGGTGGGCGAAGGGAGTGGAAGGGAATGCTGATTTTGTTAATCAGACATAAAACATTATTTGACTCTTTTAAGTTGTATGTATGTTCAATTAAAAAACCCAAACAAGGCGCCTGGCTGGCTCAGTCGGTGGGGCATGTGACTTTGGATCTTAGGGTTGTGAGTTCGAGCCTCATGTTAGGTGTAGAGATTACTTAAAATCTTAAACAAACAAACCAGAGTAATACAGAGATTTAGATATCAAATAACAAGGATTGTTTTAATATGGATTATTTTGGTGTATGTACTTCAGGAAATGCAAAGGTGCAAAATGTTATTTGGGCAATGTATTTTTCAGAGCATGTAAGTGCATGAAAGTGTATGAAAGTGTAATGAAGGCCTGGAGCAACTTGTGATTTAGAATTAGTTTTCAGGAAAATATATGAATCACAGAGGTAGGTAACTGATACATTGCACTCTTACTGACATCTGTTATTATAAGCATCCTGCCAAGTTCTGTTGGCCATACAAGGAAACACAAGGAGTGGTTTGGGGGGGGGGTGTCAAAAAGTCTATAATCCAATCAGAGAAGTAAAACAGGAACTCATGGAGACTTAACTGGTCCTGAAGAATGAATAGTGAGTCCTAATATCGTCACAAACGGTATTGTAGGATTTTAAAGGGGAGGGATTATGAAAGATAGACTCAGACAAAAGCATTACGTATTTTCTTTTTTTTTTTTTTTTAAGATTTTATTTATTTATTTGAGACAGAGAGAATGAGAGACAGAGAGCATGAGAGGGAGGAGGGTCAGAGGGAGAAGCAGACTCCCTGCCAAGCAGGGAGCCCGATGCGGGACTCGATCCTGGGGACTCCAGGATCATGACCTGAGCTGAAGGCAGTCGCTTAACCACCTGAGCCACCCAGGCGCCCACATTACGTATTTTCATCTTCATTATTTATTACTTTGGAAGAAGTGGACTTCTCAAATCTAGCAAACAGCAGATATTGAGAGAAAACTACTCCAGGGTTACCACAGCTACAGTTAGTCTCCAAATTGCTGGAAAACCAGCAGTTTCCTCTCGGACTCATCACATGTGCAAGGGTCATCCCATATCAGCAGCAAATTTTAGGGATAAAATTGTGTTCATTTAAGGGGTTAGATTTATAGAAAGGGCTCGAGGCTTCATTTATTTTGAGGAGGTAGTCAAGCAATTTTCTGCTTCCGTTTATTTAATGTCTTATTTATTTGGCTGGTTTTATTTACATTTGTGTAACTGATGGTGATTCATACACACAGCTCTTTTGTACGCAGGACCATATGGCACTAAGCCTTTGGAGCTGGCTTCTGCGTGGGGGTTTCATAAAGCCTTAGGAGTCATAATCTGATCATTTATGTGCCAGACGTATTTTTTATTGTCCTTATTGGTTTGTCCATTGGGAGCCAGGAATGATTCATGTTGCCTCTGCCGGGTTTCACCTGCAAAGCCTATACCTGTGGGCATACGCTTCCTTCCCTGAGATTCCCCAAGTTTGTCAGTGTTCCTATAAAAGACACCTTGACAGCTTGTGATTTCACACAAACTCTACATCCTTTTGTATCTCCATGTGTGGCGAAAGTTATTCTGTACACCAGCGTGGCCCAAACGTGTGCCTGTCCTTCTCAACTAATGGCCATTCCATTATATAGAACAATAAGAGGCAAGAGAGAAATATTAAAATTACACTTAGGGACTTAGTGTTTTGTATTCCCTATCTTTGTGAATTTATATCCACCTAGAAATTGGCCACATCCCCTCAAATGATTCATTAATTAACTAAAGGAAATATTAGTTCAACATCTTAAAGTTAATAACGATTTTAGGGATTACATTTAAGCTGACATAGTATGGAGAAACACAGTTCCTAATGGCATATTGAGTTTTTCAGGGAGAGGACGTTTTAATAATTTTACCCAGATAGATCTGGAGAATAATTAGGTTTACATTTACAGTTATCTCAAATGTCAAAGAACAATTATGAAGACATAATTCAATTTATTGAATGTACAGTTTTTACAGTGTCATCATTTTAAAGGTTGAAGCTTGTCCAACCAATAAAACCAGTAAAGGAAATTTAAGAAATTTAAACTAACTAGGCTTTTCACGAGATTATAAACCATAAACATTACCTAACATAAAAAGTTGTGCATAAAGGGACAAGACATGGCTATTTTTCACCAAACTTATCAAACCAATTTAATTTGTCTCAGGATTTACCTAAACTAGGACTGTCATAAAATTTTTCCTTACTTACCATGTATTTTAAAAGTCTTTATTGGTACATTTTTGTGACTGCCATTTGTCCTGAGGCAGAGGAACTGGCTCAGGTACAGGAAAGTAGCCTTCCTCTGTTGTAGGAGGCGGAAGAAGAGGAGCAAGTAGGGAAATCTAAAGGTTTGGTGGCTGGAGATGGAGGCTTCTCTTGTCTCAGGGAAGAGGGGAGGCCAGCAGGTGAGAGAGGGGAGCAGGGGTGTGCAGGAGTGCGTGGGCTGTGGTGGAAGCAAGAAGCGCCATCGGGAAAATGGCGGAGCAGCCGCTCTGCAGCCCTGGGAGCTGGTTGTCGTGTATTTAGTGAGAAGCACCTCTCGCCGGGGCGCCTTCCCCCAGGAGTGCCGGGGGCAGATGTGGAGTAGGCACCTGATAGCGTTCATCCGGCCTGGAGGTTCTGCTCGTTAGTGCCATGGAGGGAGAGTTGGGGAGACTTGCACGAAAGTAATGATAATGTTGGTCCAGGTCACTCAGGCTGGCCTCGGGAGACTGTCGCCAGAAAGGGTGAAGGCAGTATGTGACGGGCGAGGCCCTGGGAGGCCAGGTGTGCAGAGGGTTGGGGGTGGGGTCTGAAGGCACCAGGGATGGTGCCAAGAACTGGGGTCAAGAGAAGAGTGAGAACCAAGAACAGAAGTCCTGAGGGGACGGGGGTTGGGGGATGTTTCCAGAGTGCCCCAGGTGAGGGCAGAGAAGAGGCAGGGATGGTGAAGCCAGGTGGCATTTCCTCAGGGGGAGAGGTGGCGGTCTTCAGGCAGTAATGGGGCGCGGTTCAGCCCCTCCTGCCCCACTGCTCGTCGGGGCTCCAGACCCAAGCCTTTGCCCCAGAGGCCAGCAGAGGCGGCAGGCTGCAGGCAGGGCCAGGTGCCGACGGCACCGTCGGAGGAGAGCGTGAGGCCATGGCAAGATGTGTTCCTGCGGCGGCATGCTGGAAGCTGGGCAGGGGACACGGGGGAGTGACACAGGCCGCCCGGACTCAGGGTCGTGCCTGAGGTGCGCCAGGATGTGCGTGCGGGTGTGGGGTTAGCCCTCGGCGTCTCTTCCGGGGAGCTGGGGACCAGGCGGTCCTGACCGCAGGGTCCTGACCTGGTGCATCTTGTGCCACTTGGTCACTGGTGTACAGGTAGGGAAGACACTGTGACACTGATCAGCTTTGCTAGGTGTCACTGAGTCCTTCAGTTCTGTCAACAAACAGCTGGTGGCCACCTCTGTGAGCCAGGCCCCTGCAGCCATTGGCCTAGGCGAGGATGAGGCGGAGCCGTCACCTGGGCTTTTCACCCCAGGCCTCCCAACAGCCGGGCACCGCCTGCCCTGTCCCCCTGCACACAGCCTGCAGTGACAGCGGTGTGTCTTTGTAAGACTTAGGGAGATTGTGGAAGAAGGGCCTCTGCTGTTTAAAAAGAGAGAATCATGTTGTAATAGAATCCTTGCAGACTCCTAAGATGAAGACCTCATTCTCACCGTGCCCAGGTTCCTTGTGCAGAACTAACGCTCCGTGTGTCTTGTTTGGCCCTCTCCAACCGCCTGCAGAGTTTGGCGTGTACTGTAGCCACTGTCGGAACGAGGTCCGTGGCGCGCAGTGTGCCGTCTGCAAAGGCTTCACGTTCCAGTGTGCCATCTGCCACGTGGCCGTACGCGGGTCGTCCAATTTCTGCCTGACCTGCGGGCATGGTGGGCACACCAGCCACATGATGGAGTGGTTTCGGACCCAGGAGGTGTGTCCCACCGGGTGTGGATGTCACTGCCTGCTTGAAAGCACATTCTGAACTCACAGACCATGGGAGTTGTCGCAGATCCCATAGGATTCCATACGTGTTGGATGACAAGGTCTCCCACCAGGAGGGAGGCTCCAGAAAGCCATTCTTGAATAAACTGGAACGTGTTCCCCTCAAAGACTGCCACCGCACCAGCTGTTGATGAGCTTTTGCTTCTCTTCTTTTTGGCTCTTGATGGCGTGGATGTCACCGGGAAGGAGGAGGGCAGACGTGCAGAGCCACGTAGCCAGGTGGAAATCTTCTTGAAGAAAAGCACCTGCCTCCAGAGCCGTATTTACCTTCAAGGTGTTAACCTTAAACCACTGAACAGCATCCTTTCTGATGCCATTTCAGACCAAGGTCGGATACAAAGGACAGTCTCCTGAGCCGAAGGACAATGGACGTTAACTTAGTTGATAAGTAGGTCTATGATATAAGTTGGTACATTTAAATGAACTGATGGATAGTGGCCTTTTAAAAATGATATTTAAAGTATAAATACATGATGTACTTAAGGACTCTAAAGATGTATCTTATGTTTTTTATTTCTCTTCAAGCTGCTGTCCCTTGGCTAATAAAAGTCAGGTAATTGTTTGGAAAAAAAAAAGAGAAGGTTGAACAGTGTTTTAGTGAAATTGTTTTTATTCTCTTTCTAACTGAAGTTAACTCTTTGGGATAGGACCAGAGTCACTGCTCAGATTTTCAAAGGAAATGCTGATTTACTCTTGTCATCTGATGGGAGAAAATAGAATTTGATATTTTAAGTTTCTTTCCAACTCCAGGAGTCTTTTTTTTTTTTTTAAGATTTATTTATCTTAGAGCGTGAGGCAGGGTGGGTGGGGAGGAGGAAGAGGGAGAGAGAATCTTTTTTTTTTTTTAAAGATTTTATTTATTCATAAGAGACAGAGAGAGAGAGAGGCAGAGGGAGAAGCAGGCTCCCTGCTGAGCAGGGAGCCCGATGCGGGACTCGATTCCAGGACCCTGGGATCATGACCTGAGCTGAAGGCAGACGCTTACCATCTGAGCCACCCAGGCACCCAGAGGGAGAGAGAATCTTAAGCAGACTCTGCGCTGAGTGCAGAGCCTGATGTGGGGCTCAATCCCATGACCCTGAGATCATGACCTGAGCCGAAACCAAGAGTTGGATGTTCAACTGGCTGCACCCCCCAGGCCCCCCAACACTAAGAGTCTTTTAATCATTTCATTTAGCAAAAGGAAAATGAGATGGCTTCACAGCATGATATTTGAGTCTCCCATGCTACTGCGCAGGTTGGTTGAGTTCTGGTAAGTTCCTTCCACTCTTCATTTGGGCTCCCTAACAGACTTTCCATTTTTTGTTTATCTGCATTCCAAGTGGCTGTGATTCAGATGCCCACCTGTTTTATTCTTCAGAATGATTTTCAACTCTTCAATATTATATGTGCCAGGAACGAGAAATCTTTTTGATATTTCTACTGGAATATGTTTTTGTTCCTTAGAATTTCATAATTCCAAATTGATTAACTTAAGAAATAGAAGTACATGTCTCAAAATGTGTTATATATCACTGTTTTAAACTACAGGTCAGGACCCAGTAATGGGTTGTGAAATCGATTTAGTATATAAAAACCAGCATTACAGAAATGAAATAGAGTGGTGAATATCATTTTGTGTAACCTGTTTATGAGTGTATATGCACACACTTGCATACATGTATAATGGATCACAATGTAAATTCATTTCTTACTGAGGATTGTGGGGTCAAGACCCATCCATTACCTACGAGTGACTCATTTTAGACCTAAAGACACCTGCAGACTGAAAGGGAATGGAGAAACATTTGTCATGCAAATGAATGTCAAAAGAAAGAAGTAGCAATACTTATATTGGACAAACTAGACTTTAAAACAAAGATTGTAACAAGAGACAAAGAAGGGCACTATATGGGACGCCTGGGTGGCTCAGTTGGTTGAGCGACTGACTCTTGATTTCGGCTCACATCATGATCTCAGGGTTGAGCCCTGCATCGGCCTCCATGCTGAGCATGATGTCCACTTGGGATTCTCTCTTTCCATCTCCCTCTCCCCTTCCCCCTCCTCCCTTCTCTCAAATAAATAAATCTCAAAAAAAAAAAAAGAAGGGCATGGGGCGCCTGGGTGGCTCAATTGGTTAAGTGTCTGCTTTCAGCTCAGGTCATGATCCCAGGGCCCTGAGATCGAGCCCCGTATCGGGCTCCCTGCTCAGCGGGGAGCCTGCTTCTCCCTCTGCCTGCCACTCTATCTGTGCTCTCTATCTCTCTGTCAAATAAATAAATAAAATCTTAAAAAAAAGGCACTACATAATAACAGGGGACAATCCAACAAGATGGTATAACAATTGTAAATATGTATACACCTAACATGGGAGCACTCAGATACATAAAACAGTAATAACAAACAAAGGAACTAATCTATGATGATAATACAATAATAGTAGGGGACTTTAACACCCCTGCTATATCAGTGAGGACAGGTGACCTAAACAGAAAATCAACAAGGAAACAATGGCTTAGTAACACACTGGACCAGATGGACTTAACAGATATATTCAGAACATTTCATCCTGAAACAACAGAATGCACATTCTTTTCAAGTGCACATGGGACATTCTCCAGAATAGATCACATATGAGGCCACAAAACAGGCCTCAACAAATACAAGAAGATTGAAATCATACCATGCATCTTTTCTGACCACAGAACTATGAAACGAGAAGTCAACCACAAGAAAAATATCTGCAAAGACCAAAAATACATGGAGGTTAAATAAGATGCTACTAAACAATGGATGGGTCCACCAGGAAATTAAAGAAGAAATTAAAAAAATACATGAAAACACATGAAAATGAAAACACACTTGCCCAAAACTTTTGGGATGCAGCAAAAGTGGTCCTAAGAGGGAAATATATAGCAATACAGGCCTATCTCAAGGACCAAGAAAAATCTTAAATAAACAACCTAACCTTACAACTAAACAAGCTAGAAAACAACCTAAAACAAGGCCTAAAGCCAGCAGAAGGAAGGAAACAGATTAGAGCAGAAATGATATAGAAACTAAAAAAAACAAAAACAAAAACAAAAAAACGGATTGATGAAACCAGGAGCCTGGTTCTTTGAAAAAATTAATAAAAAAGGGGCGCCTGGGTGGCTCAGTCGTTAAGTGTCTGCCTTTGGCTCAGGTCATGATCTCAGGGTCCTGGGATCGAACCCCGCATCCGGCTCCCTGCTCTGCAGGAAGCCTGCTTCTCCCTTTCCCACTCCCCCTGCTTGTGTTCCCTCTCTCGCTGTGTCTCTCTCTGTCAAATAAATAAATAAAATCTTAAAAAAAAGAAAAAGTTAATAAAATTGATAAACCTCTAGCCAGACTTACCAAAAAGAAAAAAGAAAGGACCCAAATAAATAAAATCAAAATTAGAAAGGAGAAAGAACAACGAATACCACAGAAGTACAATTAGAAGAGAATATTATGAAAAGCTGTATGCCAACAAATTGGACAACCAACAAGAAATGGGTAAATTCCTAGAAACATATAAATTGCCAAAACTGTAACAGGAAGAAAAAGAAAACAGACTGATAACTAGCAAAGAAATTGAATCAGTAATCAAAAAACTCCAGCAAACAAAAGTCCTGGACCAAGTGGCTTCACAGGCAAATTCTACCAAACATTTAAAGAAGAGTTAATACCTACTCCTCAAAGTATTCCAAAAAATAGAAAAGGAAGAAAAATTTCCAAATTCATTCAATGAGGACAGCATTATCCTGATCCCAAAACTAGATAAAGACACCACTAAAAAAGAGAACTACAGGCCAATATTCCTGATGAATATAGATGCAAAAATTCTCAATAAAATACTAGCAAACCAAATCCAACAATACATTTAAAAAATCATTCACCACCACGATCAAGTGAGATTTATTCATGGCTTGCGAGAGTGGTTCAGTATTTGCATATCAATGTGATATACCACACTAATAAAGTATAAGAACCATGTGATCATTTCAGTAGATGCAGAAAAAGCATTTGACAAAGTACAACATCCATTCATGATAAAAACCCTCAATAAAGTTAATTTTGAGGGATCATACCTCAAAATTATAAACAGGTAAAGGCCATATATGAAAAACCCACAATTAATATCCTAAATGGGGGGAAACCGAGAGCTTCTCCTCTATGGTCAGGAAAAGACAGGGATGTCCACTCTCACCACTTTTATTCAACATAGTACTAGAAGTCCCAGTGACAGCAATCAGACAACAAAAATAAAAGGCATCCAAATCAACAAGAAGTAAAATTTTCACTATTCGCAGATGCCGTGATACTATATATAGATAACCCTAAAGACCCCACAAAAAAAACTGCTAGAACTGATAAATGAATTCAGTAGTCTCAGGATACAAAATCAACATATAGAAATCTGTTGCATTTCTATACACCAGCAATGAAGCAGCAGAAAGCAAAATTAAGGAATCGATCCCATTTACAATTACACCAAAAACAAAAAGATACCTGGGAATATACCTAATCAACGAGGTGAAATACCTGTACTCTGAAGACAATAAAATACTGATGAAAGAAATTCAAGACACTCTTTCTCGTGGCACCTCAGAGGTGGTAGGTTGCTTCAGGATGAAGCTGAACATCTCTTTCCTAGCTTCTGGCTGCAAGAAACTCATTGAAGTGGATGATGAACGCAAACTTCATACATTTTATGAGAAGTGTATGGCCACAGAAGTTGCTGCTGATGCTCTGGGTGAAGAATGAAAGGGTTATGTGGTCCAAATCAATGGTGACAGTGACAAACAAGTCTTCCCCATGAAACAGGGTGTCCTGACCCATGGCCGCGTCTGCCTGCTGCTGATTAAGGAGCATTCCTGCTACAGACCAAGGAGGACTGGAGAAAGAAGGGGCAAATCTGTTTGGGGTTGCATTGTGGGTGCCAATCTCAGTGTTCTCAACTTGGTCATTGTAGAAAAAAGGGGAGAAGGGTACTCCTGGACTCACTGATAACTACTGTGCCTCGTTGCCTGGGACCCAGGAGAGCCAGCAGAATCCGCAAACTTTCAGTCTCTCTAAAGAAGATGATGTCCACAAGTATGTTATGAGAAAGCCCCTCAACAAAGAAGGTAAGAAACCTAGAACCAAAGAGCACAAGATTTAGCATCTTGTTACTCCACATGTCCTCCCACACAAACATCAGCATATTGCTTTGAAGAAACAGCATACTAAGAAAAATAAGGAAGAGGCTGCAGAATATGCTAACAGTTTGGCCAAGCGAATGAAGGAGGCCAAGGAAAAAATCCTAGGAATAGACTGCCAAGAGACAGAGGCTGTCCTCTCTGAGAGCTTCTACCTCTAAGTCTGAGTCCAGTCAAAAATGAGATTTTTTAAGAGTAACAAATAAATGGGACATCAAAAAAAAAAAAAAAAAAAAGAGAAAGAAAAGAAAAAAATTCAAGGTGATGCAAAGAAATGGACAGGTATGGATTAGAATATTGTTAAAATGTCTATACTACTCAAAGCCATCTACACATTTAATGCAATCCCTATCAAAATACCAATAGCATTCTTCACAGAGCTAGAACAAACAATCCTAAAACTTGTA